CCAGACTCCATTGCTGGTTTTCTCAGAAAGCCAGGTGCTTTGCATTTTTAAAAGTAAACCATCCTGGGGGGCCAGTTCGAGAAATCTCCTTGCTGGGTTTCTTCATCTGACTCTGACAGTCGTCTTAGAACTGTTAGCCCACATTCCAGGGCTGGGGCATGCACAGCCCTTCCAGAAGTAAGTCACTGTCCCTTGCCAGCCAGCCAGGACGAGCTGGGGTCTGCTGGCTCTGAAGGGTTTCCTTTGTATGAGACTACCTCTCCAGTGGGTAGGGGGGCCTACTCAACTAGAGCTGGCATGGTGACAGAACATCTCTAGGGACAGTAAACTGCCAGTCAGTGTAGCATCCTGGGATCACTCAAGAGGAACGAGGAATCGCAGATGCAAAACTCCCCACTGCCCTCTGCCAGGATTCAACAATGGATGTCTCTGTGCCCTTAATAACATGAAGTCACCATAGAGACATTTCTCCTAATTATGCATTCCTTGTAATGATGGGACACTCATGTTAAGAGGTTTTTTTTTTTCAAGCTAAGAATGTATATTTATGGGAGGTTTGTGTGGAATAAATAGCTTTAAATTATCTCTTGTCACTGTCAAACTTCTTAATAGGCATATTGTCAGGTCCATGGAAGTAATCTTTCAGTCTTACATGGCCTGCAGGCTCCAGGTGTCTCCATGCACCCTCTTTTCTCAGGGCTCCCCAGCTCCTACAATGACAACCACTCACTAGGTGTTCCGTAGCTATCCATGGTGTAAATGAGGTGAACCTTGGCCACACAGCCCAGGATGCCTGCTTTTGTCTGTCTATCTGAATGTATGGAATGAGAGGTCTAGCCATACCATTCTGCATCCGTTTGTTTGTTTTTCAAGACAGGGTTTCTCTGTGTAGCTCTGAATGTCCTGAAACTCACTCTGTAGACTAGGCTGGCCTCAAACTCAGAGATCTACCAGCCTCTGCCTTCCTAGTGCTGGGATTAAAGGTGTGCACCACCACTGCCTGGCCCATTGTTCATCTCAGAAAGAACCAAAGGTAAGATGTCTCTAGGCAGAAGACACAGGGCCAGGAGCTAACACCTCCATGGACTCCTTTAGACGAGATGGTGGTAGATATAGGCACCTACTAGCCAAACCAGAGTCCTCCCTAATATCCTATGGAAATCACACATTAAACCCTGATCCTAGTTCCTGGGACATTAATAGAGAATGGGGAATATCAAGGGCATTACTGGATTTTGCAGAGAAACAGGCTAAGTTTCCACCCCAGTTTGCTGTGTGACCTTGAGTTGTGAGGGACCCTCTCTGAGCCTCTTCCTTTCTGCATCCTGAAGATAAGCAAGCTTCACTTATGGGATTATGAGGTTGAAAGGAGAAGTCAGTTGCAGTGGCTGCCCAGTGATGATGGATTAGTTTTTGGATGCTGGTGGGCCTCAGGAGACCTGCTGACATTGAGAATAGCCTTATCAGGTTCTTTCAGGCTCTGGACCACAGGGCCCATCTCTCAGGCCCTTTTCAGCTGTCCACTATTTATTAATAGATTTAAAAGCCCTTGTCTTATCCTCATTTACCTTTGAGGGACTCTGGTCTTCACCCCATATTCTTTTCTGCTACTCAGGACACGAGGGCTGGTGGGAATGAGGATCCCTCTGTCACCTTGGATATGAACTTGAGTTTTTTGGTTTTGTTTGTTTAAGAAAGAGTCTCATTACATAACTCTGGCTGGCCTAGAACTCACTATGTAGACTAGGCTGGCTTTGAATTCACAGAAATCCACCTGCCTTTGCCTCCTGACTGTTGGGGTTAAAGGTGTGCAACACCTTGTCTAAGATCTGCCCCCTCTTTATAATGGGGTTTTAAGATTTTTTTTTCCTCTGTGGCCCAGCTGTCCTTGAATCTCTAGATTCAAGTAATCTTCCCACAGCAACCTCCTGAGCACTTGTGACTCTTAAGTTTGTGTAGGTTATATCATTGAACATTTTGGGAGGATGAGATTTTGCAAAGCCCTTGCTCTTGGCCTCTCCAACCTTGGGTAGTAAAGCCTTTCAGCCTACTAGGTAAACTCAGTTTAATCATCATAAAATGGTACAATATTATGTTATTCCCCTCCAGCAACCATCTTGATCCTTGATATATAACAGATGCTCAGTAAGTGTTTGTTGAATGACTATTGAGTAGCAGAAGGCTTTTCGAAAGCGAGTGTCATTGTTAATGGGTCCCTTAGGAAAGCTCAGAGAAAGGAAGCACTCCATCTGGAAGGAGAATGTGCCAACCTCTCTCACCCTCCGTCAGTGTCTGGCTTGGTTATGTTGAATGAGATCTGGTCCTCTGGTTCTCTACCATGGGGCAGGTGGTGGGCAGCACAGATGTGGGGACAGGAGGACCCCAGGGCTGGGGATCCCATGTGGGCTGGATTCTGTCACTAGCTGGGTTCACAAGCACAATCCCTGCATGAGCCTCATTTCCCCATCTGTACAGCAAGAGGCTCATGTGCTCTCGTGGTCCTTCCCAGCTCTGACACATTCCAGGATCTGCAATGAGTGATTTCACAAACTGTTCACGAGAGGGGGAAGGAAAGACATGCTTGCTATTTTCCCAAACACCTCACAGTCTACAGAGTACTGTCTAGTCGCTTGTGCCTTCCTCTCAGGGAAACTTGAGGTGGCCAAGGCAAGGTCTAGGTGTCCATTTTCGACAAGAAACTGAACTGAAAACCATCCCTGAGAGCTTCAATATGCTTGTTTTAATACGGGGTCACATGTAGCCCCGGCTGCCTATGTGGCCAAGGATGGTCTAGAACTCCTGGTCTTTCTGCATCTACCTGCGGGGGTTACAGGTGTGTTCAGTTATACTCAGCCGTGGGAACTGTAATTTGTTTTCAAAGATTAACACATTGCTTGGGATGGGCACAAGGGGGTTTTTGTTTTTCAAGACCGGGTTTCTCTGTGTAACAGTCCTATAGACCAGGCTGGCTTCAAATTCACAATGATCCACCTGCCTCTGCCTCCCGAGTGCTGGGAATAAAGGCCTGTGCCACCACCACCCAGCAACTCCTTGTTTTTTGTTTAAGATCTTATTTATTTATTTTTGCTGTATATAGCCCAGGCTGTCCTGGGATTTAAGCTCTTTTGGCTTTGGCCCTCTAAATGCTAGAAATACAAGTGTATTTCTTAAGAAGTTGCTTGCAAAATGCACATTCCTGGGCTGGTAAAGATTCTAAATTGGACCTGGGTGAGGTGGCACATACCTGTAACCCAGCACTCAGGAAGCTGACGCAGGAAGATTACCTTGATTCAGTTTGGGCTACATAGCAAGATTCTGTCTCTTAAAAGAAGAAAAGAAAAGAAACAAGTGATGTACCCCTATAATCCCAGCACTTGGGAGATAGAGACAGGTAGGTCTCTGAGTTCATTCAGGCCAGCCTGGTCTACATAGTGAGTTCCAGAGCAGCCAGAGCTACATAGAGAGACCCTGTCTCTAACCAGCAACAAACCCAAACCAAAAAAACAAACTCAAACTCAAACAAGCCAAAGGAACCCAAAACCAAAACAACCCAAGAGGTGGTGCTGGGGGCATTGGGTGGGAGGTAGGGGCTGATTGTAAATTGGCCAGCTGGGATGGCCCAAAGTTAACAGGTGCCCTGGCATTTCAGAAGCCTTGGAAAATCACAGCGTCCTTGTTCCTTCCTCAGCCTCCATTTCTGTCATACACAGAAGGGTTATGAGAAACAGCCCCTCTAGGCCAGCCCAGAGCAGTGTGTTCAGACTTGAGACAGAGGAGAAGGTAGCATGGGGCCATGGAATAAGTCACCCTGGGTTGAGAGCTCCCTGGAGGAAGCAATGCTTACATTGGACTTGGGGACTTGAATGTTGTCAGCTACTCTCTTCTTGTGGTCGCCCCGCCCACAGTGCAGGAAGCTTGTAGGTCTTGTTAAATCTTTCACATCTCTGTTCCCAGTGTTGGCACAATGCCTAGCAGAGAGGACAATACTGGTCAGATGGGCTGACCTGAACAATGAGAAATGCTGACGGAGATAGCCCAGGGCCTCAATATTAAATGCAATCCATATGTGCCCTCACCGCCATTGCACTGCCCTACCACCCTAGGTGAGGTCTAAACGAGGAGTTAATAATGGCCGAGTCTCTTTACATTGCACGCTTCTGCTGCCTTTGTTTCCCTTTCTCCTTTTCACTGGCAGGAGTGAAGGTCTGGACTGAGGTAGGGACACTGAGCATGCTCTCAGACGGGGTCTTACTGTGTAGTCCTAACTGGCTGGCCTGAAGATCTGCCTGCCTCTGTCTCCCCAAGTGCTGGGATTAAAGGCAGGAGCCATTGTGATGTAAGCAAATGAATGAACGAAAATTGGGCGCTGGCTACGGAAGGAATTTCAGCTAAAATCAGATCGAGATCAAAGCCATACATCCCTGCCTATCTCCCAGCACCCCTCTTTGGCGTGGCTTGTAGGTGACAGGGATAGAAAGAGCCCATGATATGTGAGAAAATGGACTAGGACCGCAGAGGTGGCTGAAGCGAACTTTGGAGGTGAGCCTGAGCGTGCAGAAGAAACAATTTCTGGAATATGAACTGAGGGGGGTAGAGGCCACAGGTTGAGAATGTAGGGGTCATGTGTCATGGGGGGGGGGACTGCGGGACGTGCAGAACCAAGTACGAAGTTTGTTCGCTTCGCCAGACCCCGCCACCCATCGAGTAGGCGGTGGAGAGGGCGGAGCCCGGCGCCCACGCCTCTTGCCGGGCTTGGCTGGAGGCAGAGGGGAGAAGGAGAAGGCGCCCGGCACCGCCCGGACAAAGCCTGCGCGCGCCCCGCCCCGGGATTGGCCGCCCCGCCCAGGGTCCCGCCCTCCATCGCCGGCCCCGGACGCTGCAGCCAATGTCCGCCACCGGCGCCACCTCCGTCACAGCCGCGTCGGCCAATGGAGGTGGCGCTCGGCGGCGCGTGGCTCTTTCGCGGCAAAAAGGATTTGGCGCGTAAAAGTGGCCCGGACTTTGCAGGCAGCGGCGGCCGGGGCGGAGCGGGATCGAGCCCTCGCCGCGGCCTGCCGCCATGGGCCCGCGCCGCCGCCGCCGCCTGCCTCCCGGGCCACGAGGGCCGTGAGCACCATGGCCGTGGCCCCCGCGGGCGGCCAGCGCGCGCCGGCGCTGGAGGCCCTGCTCGGGGCGGGCGCGCTGCGGCTGCTCGACTCCTCGCAGATCGTCATCATCTCTGCCGCGCCCGATGTCGGCGCCCCGCAGGGCCCCGCCGGCCCCGCCGCGCCGCCCGCCGGCCCACGCGACCCTGACGTGCTGCTCTTCGCCACGCCGCAGGCGCCCCGGCCCGCGCCTAGTGCACCGCGTCCCGCTCTCGGCCGCCCGCCGGTACGGACCCTAGGCGCGGGCGGGGGAGGGGCGGGCTGCAGCGCTGGGCGGCGCGGAGCCTGGGCTGGGCCTCGGGGCTCCGCCCCGGGGCGCGCGGTGACAGACTGCCTGTCCCTTGTTTGCTGCTGCTCCCAGCTCTGGGCCTCAGGGTCCTCACCAGAGCGTCGGATTCGTTAATGATAATGGTTCACGTGTATTCAGCTGGTGCTTGCTTAGTGCACGCCCAGCCTTTGGCACACTTAGAATCTCGGCCAAAATTCTCTACCGTGAGCTGGGTGTTGTCACGTGCCCATCTGCCAGAGGGAGGAACTGAGGCCCAGACAGGGAAGTGCTGCACGCAGCTGCAGGTGGTGGGGCTGGTATTTAGATGCCTGCTGACTTGCAGCAGAACTTAGGACTGGGTAGTGAGCACGGTTGCTTGTGGGAGGTGAAGGAGGTGGTTTGGGGAGACCCCTTAGTGCCTCGATATTGGATTGCCAGGTGCAGTTGGAGGCCTTCTCCGCAGGGGCGGGGTGCTGGGCCAGCTGCTGCAACCCTTCTTCTGCCTGTCCGTCCATCTGCCAGCCTTCCAGCCCCTGGTTGCCATGGAACTTTATTAGTCAAACGGGCAGACCCCCGAGTCTCTGGAAGTCTGGGTGGGCTGGGCCCCTGAGATCTATGGAAGGGCCCTCCAGTGCCTGGAGAGAGGTGTGGGAGGGAGATCCCTGAATAAAGTCTTCACTTATCCCCGAACAGCTCAAGACCAGTTTAGGCTGGGGGCCTAGAAAAGGCAGCTGAGTCAGTGGAGAGTGGAAGCTTGGAACTTGCATCCAAGCAGGCGGGCTCAGGCGCAGGGTGTGGGCCACCAACTTTATTGTGGGGGTGGAGGAGACAGGAGGGTTCTCAGCAGGGGGCTTGGAGCAAGTGGGAGGGCCAGGGCCCAGAACCCCGGGAGTAGTGCTGGTGGGGGTGTGGGTGTGGGTGGCAGCTGGTTCCTGAGGCATCTTGGGAAGGCCCACAGCCCCCTTGGCCCAGTGCCCAGTGCTGCCTTCCTTCCGGAATCACCAAGATGCTAATAATAATAACAATAGCAACTACCAGTGTTTTAAGGATGTTTTGTGTGCCAAGCACTTCACCCACTTAACCCTGTCAACAACCTTACTTTTTGACCCTTGATGCTTCTTAGAGATGGGGAGGCTGAGGCCCAGAAATGGTGGAACTTTACTCATTCAGCCAGGGATGGTATTTCCTGATTGTTGGTGGCTCTTCCTCCAGATGAGAGCCGGCTTGCCTTCCGTGTACTCCAGGGGCCTGTGCCTGCTGGTTGGAGCTTAGGGTCTGGGCAGGTAGTCTGCAGTTGACCAAACATTCCATTCCCTCGAGTTAGTGAGTCCCCGTTACATACTAGGTGTAGAGGTACTTAAGGGCCAGCAAACATTTTCTGTGGGAGAGGCTGACAACATCCTGGAGCCAAAGGCCGGAATGCAAATCCAGATTTTGACCTCTGCTGACTTTGCTCTGGCATTTTGGGGGTCAGTCCCTGAAATGAGCTGCAGGCTTGGCTTCCATCCAGTAAGCACTTGTTGAATGCTTCCTGTGTACAGAACTCCCATTTGATTCAGATTCTTCTTTGCCCTGCCTGCCCACCCCTACCTGGTCAGAGGTAGGTGTGTGTGTGTGTGTGTGTGTGTGTGTGTGTGTGTCAGGGGGAAAGTGGAGACAGGAGAATTGCCATAAGTTCAAGGCCAGCCAGGGTTACATAGTGAGACCTTCCTTAAAAGTAAGTTACATTTTAAAAGTAAACTTGCTATGACAGCTAGAGTGTGGACCCCAGCACCCACTTTGAGGTTGTAGGTGACTATAACTCCAGCTTCGAGGGATGTGATAGTGTCTTCTGCCCCCATGCCCACATGTTCACATACACACATACAGACACAAATTTCTTAAAAAGTAAACCAATTAAATAAAAATATATCAAAATACCAACAGTCTATCTTGGTTTATTGGCATGTCTTATAATTTAGGCAGGCAAGAATGAGGATACTAACTCTTGAGTTCAAAGCCAGCCTGTACTACAAAGACCTTAGTACATGACTAATAATGGGAAGCTGAGTTTTTCCCATTATACACATAATACCTATTTACTATAGGAAGTATGTAGTATCAGACATTAGGTCTGTAAAGAAAAAAAATAGATTTAGAACTGAAAGCCAGTTGTAGCTCGGGGCTCTTGTTTTAGGTTAGATTTGTATTATATGTGTCCCTGGCTGGCCACTGCCTACTTAATGTTGTTGGGGATTGAACCCAAGATTTAGTGCATGCTGAACAAGCACTTTGCCAATCCTCAGGATTCTTTTTTTTTTTTAATGGTTCCAAAATTTGCTGTGAGTCATGTGATGGCAGTACTTACAAAGGTATAAGGATCAGGAGTTCAAGGTCTTTCTCAGTTGCTACTATGCCTGAGGCCAGCCAGGCTATCTGAGAGACAGCACATCATTCTCTTTGCCCAGAGGAGGCAATAGTCTGCCCTGTTTCAGGAACACACTCTTAAAAACTGAACTAGAGAACAGCTCCTGAGATTGTTAATCCAGGAAGGGACCATATATGTGTTAACCAGTCACAGTGGTTACCTCGTGTGTCTGTGAGAGTGTTCTGTGTTGGCCTGGGCTGCCTCAGTGTTTCACCGAGATTGCATGCTGTTCCAGGGGCTAAGTAAACCATTTTTGTGGCCCTTCCTGTGAATGGGTGTTTGAGTCAGCTATTTTCATTAGTGACTATCTTCACCTGTGGCTTTTAGGGTTTCAGTACTAGGGTTGTCTAGACAGGAATGACAGAAACAGGCATCTGTCTAAGCTAAGCCCTTACTTTTACAGTGTCTCTTTAGGAGTCGGTCAACAGGGGCCAGGGTACTAGGGAGAAGGTGTCCCTGCTAGTTTGTATGTAGGGCCCTGTCAGCCCATTGGGGTGTCCATGTTGGATTTCTCCCTGGCTACAGGTCCATCCCAAGGTGGAGACCACCATAGGCTCTGCCATTGGACAAGAATTTGGTGAGGAAATGTATGGGAAGCAGTTACTACCCTGTTCTGCATAGACAGCATAGACGTCTGCCCGAATGTGATCCCAGGAGTATGGGGGGGGGGGGGAGTCTAGTCAACACCTGTTGACTGACACTGAGGCAGAAGTTCATTGGATCCAGTGACACTTTGGGACGTGGAGGGGTAGGCGGGGAAGACTGACAGGTGTGCAGAAATTTGTAATGGATGTAAGAAAGGGCTGGATCTGAGTCAATACAGAGAGAAGGGTGACGTCTCTTAAGTGATTAAGGCTCCTGCTGGAGGAGAGGGGCATAGGCTAAGTTTTAGAGACAGGGGTTGGGAGAAGTCCATCTCAGCAGTTCATAGGTTTGAAGGCTTTACTGAGGCAGAGATGTGGAAGGAGACCAATGTAGGGACAGCTGGACTGTCCAGTGGGAGGGTGATAATAGCTGTGGGGAGGATTCTTGGCAAAGGAACGTGACAGGTGGTAAGCCAGGTTGAAAGTGGGTTTAGGTGAGAAGGGCCTGTGGCTGGTGAACAGCAAGTCTGGTCCTGTTAGGATGTCTTGAGCTGTCAGTGGGTCTTCGGGGTCCTTTCCGTCTCCACATGTCTAGCCTAAGCTAGGGGGCATGGGGATTAGCAGTTTGGGGGCCCATGGGTAGGAATGGTGGCTCTGCCGCTTCCTGACTGTGATCTTGAATGTGGGTTGCTTTAATCTGCAAAGTGGAGCCATTGGTGTTGCCAGCTGAAAGGCACCAGCTGCTGCCATGGTTATAGGTGGGTTAATGAGTTAAAAACCAGAGAAGTGACTTACATGTCCGAGGGACCTATACCCTTCCTTGGTGGCTTGTGTTGTACGTCGTCTCTGTGGGCCAGGGCTTGAGGGAGAGTCAGCTGGTGCTTCTAGCCTGGGATGGAACCCTGCTGCAGAAAGAAAACTGGTTGTACTCTAAGGGCAGGACTGAGGCTGCTGGGTTTGCTTCCAAACTTGTGTTGTTCCTCAGCTCTTTGCCAGCGGGGCTTCTCTTTAGAGCTACATGAGAGAGAGTATGGCGTATCAGCTTCCTCTGCCCCGTCTCCTCAGAGGAGAAGCTCTGGGGCCTCCGTGTCCAGTCTCCGCAACACCATCAATTCTGGCTAGCATTTAAGGGGAAGGAAGTTAGCACTTATCTTTGAAAGGAGTACTAGAAGTAGCAAGTCCTGATGGTAAGACCACTATTTGGGAGGTAGAGGCAGGGACAAAAGAAATTCAAGGTCATCCCTGGGCTACATAGTATGTTTGAGGACAGCCTGGGCTGTTAGATTGTGTGTTAGTATGCACAAGACCTTCATTTTAATCTCTAGCATTACAGCCATGTTTGTTCTTTGCTCGTGTATTTTTTTAAAATACCTGTTGGACCTAAAACTTGAACTCAGATCTCCAGTCTTGTACTTGAATGATATGTGTGGTAGGATCATCCAATGCTGTGTCCCTTAGGATCCATCTCTGCTCACATACGTAGACATCCTAATAGAGAAAATAAGACTGGGGTGACAAGCCCTTAGCTAAGTCTCTTGTGTGGTCTCACTCCTGGTTCCTGGGCATCTTCCTGTGTTCCTGCTACAGGTGAAAAGGAGGCTGGATCTGGAAACTGACCATCAGTATCTGGCTGGGAGCAGTGGGCCGTTCCGGGGCCGAGGCCGCCACCCAGGGAAAGGTGCTTATTGACCCTAGCATCTCAGGCCCAGATTTGGGGGTGGGCATGCTTGTAGCCTCTGGGGCAGCTGGAATGGCTGGCTGATAAGACTTCCTCGGGCCCTGGAGGTGGGGAGTTCCCCAGCCACAGAGGGATGCTTTGGTTGGCAGACAGCAGCCACAGGGCCTTTCTGCTTGGCCTGACTAAGGGGAAGGAGCCCTCTGTCTCCCACTTCATCTCCCCACTCTACACTGCTAGGGAGACAGGCCTGTTGGGGGCAGGCTGAGTGTCTGAGGAGCCCTGCCTACCCTAAACCCTGCCCCCCCCCAGGTGTGAAATCTCCAGGAGAGAAGTCACGCTATGAGACATCATTAAATCTGACCACCAAACGCTTCTTGGAGCTGCTGAGCCGCTCAGCTGATGGTGTTGTTGACCTGAACTGGGCGGCTGAGGTGCTGAAAGTGCAGAAACGGCGCATCTATGACATCACCAATGTCCTTGAGGGCATCCAGCTCATTGCCAAGAAGTCCAAGAATCATATCCAGTGGCTGTAAGTACTGACCAGTCAGGTGGGCTGGTGGCAGCCAGACCAGGCTTCAGTGGCTTCCTGCATCCAAGGAGAGGTGTCTTCTTGGGGTAGTAGAAGGGGAGGGATATACAGGTCTTGCAGATCCAGCTCCCTATAGCTGTACGAGGTGTTCCATCCAGTGAGCACATACACACCCATTCTGAAGGTCCTGTCCCCTTTCCCGGTGTTGCCCATTTTTGGTTCACTGTGCAAACACCATTCCAGCTTTTGCTGTCCTCACTGAGGTTGGCCTTAGAGGTGTTCCAGTTTTGTTAGGATTTCTCCCTTGTACCTCCCTCTCTCTCCAGACATCCTGCTGCCCTCTCTGGCATATCTGCCTTCTTGGTTTTTGATAGCCCATTCTTCATTCTATATTGCTTTCTCTTCACTTGTCAGTGTATCTTGGTGGCATTCCGTGGCAGTGGTGGCTCCTTGGTGGGACATAGAGGTGTTTGTTGACAGACCAGGCATAAGTCCATGCCAGTCTAACTTGGAGCCTAGCTGGGGAGCAGAGCCAGAGAGGGGAAGGAGCTTGCCTACTTCTCACAGAACAGTGGCACACTGCCTTGTGGACCACGGCTGATGTGTGGAGGGCCCGAGGACCGCTAACTCTTCATGTGCTCCCCACAGAGGCGGCCGCACCATGGTGGGGATCAGTAAGCGGCTTGAAGGCTTGACCCAGGACCTGCAGCAACTGCAGGAGAGTGAGCAGCACCTGGATCACCTGATGCATATCTGTACCACGCAGCTGCAACTGCTTTCTGAGGACTCAGACAGCCAGCGATATCCTTGAATTGGCCAGGGAATGTGGAGGGCAGGCTCGGCCAGTGGTGGCCCCACAGAGACTATAGAGCTTACCTAGTGCTCTGGATTCTCAAAGATTCTGGCTTTGGAAGCAAGGCCTGGCTCTGACTTATTCACCATAGGACACTGAACAACTTACTTGGCTTTTGTTTGTTTATTTTTTGATTTTCAGGATGGGCTTCTGTGGAATAGTCCTGGCTGTCTTGGAACTTAGTGTGGTCTCAAACTCACAGAGATTCACCTGCCTCTGTCTTCCAAGTTCTAGGATTAAAGACTTGTACCACCATAGCCTGGCCAAGTTACTTAGCTTTTATGGGCCCAAGTTTCGTCTATAAAAGAGAATAGTAATATCATTTCCAAAATATTACATATTAAAAAAAATAAAAAAAACCTGGGTGATGGTGGCATACACTTTTAATCTCAGCACTTGGGAGGCAGGTGGATCATAGTGACTTTGAGGCCAGCCTGGTCTACAGAGCGAGTTCCAGGACAGCCAGGGATACACAGAGAAACCCTATTGGGGGGGGGGGAGAGAAAGGGCAAACAAAATAGCTTAATGAGTAAAGGTGATTTTGGCCAATCTTAGCCATCTGAGTTTGAGTCCCCAGTGGAAAGAGGTAACTGACTCCTATAAGTTCTCTGGCTTGCACGTATGTGTGTGTACACACTCCCCTGTGGCATGTGTATGCATGTACACAAAGTAGTAAGTTTTAGTAAGTTTTAAAAGAAGCCTAGGACTGGAGAGATGGCTCAGCAGTTAAGAGTAGCTCTTGCAGAGAGCCCAAGTTTTAATTCCTTGCATCCATATGGTGGTTGCTCACAGCTGTAAGTCTAGTCCTAATGCGTCTGATGCCCTCTTCTACCTCTCAAAGCAGCAGGTACATATGAGACACACATACATGTCAGGAAAACACTCATATGCAGAATATATGTCAGGGAAAATACTCAAATGCAGAAATCCTGGCTGGGTGTGGTGGTACAAGCCTTCAAAATCCCAGCACTTGGGAAGCAGAGGCCAGCCTGGTCTATGTATTTCCAGACTAGTCAGAGATATACAATGAGACCGTCTCAGCAAAACAAAGAAGAAAAGCCCAGTAAGGTGGTGTGTGCTTGTAATCCCAGGACCGGGTATGAGGCAGACACTGCCACATGCTCAGGGCCAGTCAAGACTGTAGTGAGACCGTCTGAATGAAAAGACTCACAGGCCACTGGACTACACTGAGAGCCTGTCATCCAAGAGAAAAACCAGTACCAGTGATGACAAACCTTCCCTTAGTCATTGACTTAGTGCTTGATTGTAGCTTCAAAGTTAAAACTTCATTTAGAATGTGTTTTGTTTTTTTGTTTGTTTGTTTTGTTTTATTTTTAGTGAATATCATTGATTAACAGTAAGATTGTCAAAAGCAATTTCCATCTCCCAGCCTGGAGATCTGTTGAGCATTTTATGTGGAATTATTTAGAGGCAGCCATTAGTTTGGAATTGGATGGGTAGATAGCCTCACTGTATAGATATGGCAGTTGAAGTTTGGAAATGAGGCTCTGAGTACCTACTTTGTGCCAGGCCTTGGGATGAAGGAGTCAAAACAGGAGTGACTAGGTAGGGATGGTGGGCTGTCAGGTTCTTCAAAGGTCACATAGTCCTTGACTCCCCCAACCCTGGCCTATGTGACCTGCCAGGACCTTCGTAGCATAGCGGACCCTGCAGAACAGATGGTCATAGTGATCAAGGCCCCTCCTGAGACCCAACTACAAGCTATAGACTCTGCAGAGGTGAGACTCGGGACTCCAGGCCTGACCAAGACAGGGTGGGCTGGGCTAATGGTCACCTGGGCCTCAATTTACCCTGCCTGCTGTCTCTATCCAGACATTTCAGATCTCTCTTAAGAGCAAACAAGGACCCATCGATGTTTTTCTGTGTCCTGAGGAGAGTGCAGAGGGGATCAGCCCTGGGAGGACCCCATCCCAGGAGATATCCTCTGGGGAAGACAGGACCGCAGATCCTGGCACTGCAGGGCCTCTACCGTCACCTCCCTCCACATCCCCGACCTTGGATCCCAGCCAGTCCCTGCTAGGCCTGGAGCAAGGTAGGTAGGGGTGGGTTTTTGCCTATTTGGGCAGGCAGCCCTTGTGTGCTGGGCCAGCTCTAACCTATCATGCCTGTTTTCCCCAGAACCAGGATTGTCACGGATGAGCAGCCTGAGGACCCCCATGGAAGACGACCATCTGTCACCGCTGGTGGCTGCTGACTCACTCCTGGAGCATGTTCGAGAAGACTTCTCTGGGCTCCTCCCTGGGGAGTTCATCAGCCTTTCCCCACCCCACGAGGCCCTTGACTACCACTTTGGCCTTGAGGAGAGTGAAGGCATCAGAGATCTCTTTGACTGTGACTTTGGGGACCTGACCCCTCTGGATTTCTGACAGAAGCCTAGGGAGCCAGGGTGTCTGGAGATGCCCACCCTGTCTGCAGCTTTGGAGCCTCCTGCCCTGGGTCATCCTTCCTGCTTTATTGGAAAAGCACGATTCATACCCTCTTCTCTGTGCAGTAGCTTCTAGATCTGGGGTTTGGCAGCTGCCAGATTGAGCAGACCAAAAGGGGAAGGATTTTGTATGGTGTGTGTGTGTGTGTGTGTGTGTGTGTGTGTGTGTGTGCGTGCGTGCGTGTGCACACGCACACTTGTGTATGCACGAATGTGCACCCCACACTGCACACTGTGTGCTTGGGGTGTATTCTGTATGTATGCGTGTATGCATGTGTGTACCGGGGAATGAAGGTGAACACATCTGTATGTGTGCTGCAGACACATCCTGCTGTGTCCACATGTGTGCATGAAATCATGTGCGCGCATTGGGGTGGGGGTGGGGCTCTAACTGCACTTTTGGTGTCCTTGCTGCAGAGGCCTCGAGAGGCCCAGGGTGGCTGCCGGCTCCCAGAATCCTGTATGCCAGCCAGGCCAGGTGGAGTAGCTTGGCCGACTGCATTTGCAGGGCAGCAAGAGCACTGCTTAAAAGTTTTCCGATCGAAGCTTTAATGGAGCGTTTATTTATTTATCGAGGCCTCTGGCAAGCTTGGGGAATAAGCTAAGGGTGGGAGAGATATGGGCTAATACCCCAACTTCCTATACTCTGAAGCAAGGGCAGGGTCCCCTAGCTGGTTTTTTTTTTTTCTTCCCCCAACCCCAAAGGAGCTAAGGCCCAAGCAGTTTATTTATTGGGAAAGTGGGAGGCGGGGAACAGACTGACAGCCATGGGCGGGTTGGAGAAATGGTCCCCAAGGTTGTGCCGGCACCCTCACTGTGCCCAGGTGGGTTTGAGATGGGAGACGTGAGTGACAGGGTGTGGACCCTCCTGTGGCTACAGTGCTTCTCCATTGTCCCATCCACCCTCCAGTCTGCACTTTGTTTCTTAACAGTTCTGTTCCCTCCTGCTTTGGTTTTAATAAATGTTTTGATGGAGTTAGGGCTGGGTTTGGGACTCTATGCCAACGTGAGGCTAGGGTCAGAGGGAATACTCATTTCCTTTTCCTATCTGGTTTAATTTCCTTTCTGTGATGTAACCGCTTGAGAGGAAGAAAAACGAGCCAGTGAAGTAGGGAGTCATGCATATTACCTAAGTGCAGAAAAGGGGGTGTTAGAGTCGGCTTGCTGTGCACCTTCCGGACATTTTTGAGCGTTAGTAAAGATGCAACACACAGTGAACTGTGTTTGTGTCGCATGCTTTTGTGTGTGTGTCCTGTACTTGTAGTATGTGTTCCTCCCTTTAGGCCTGTCTTGCAAGTGAGGAGACCAAAGTTTTCCTGAAAGAGATGGGCTGAGATGTGGGAGAAGGGGGAGGTGACTGGGAAGCCATGATATGCGATAATGAACCCTCAATGGGAGTCCTTTGAGCCGAGTATTTACATTACCTTTGACAATCTTGGAGGGAAACAAATGCCCAGAGGTGAAGAGCTTGTGAATTTGACCTGTTAATGGCTTCTGCATTTAAAGCTTTGTCCACACCAGACTGGATCACCTGGTCCTGTAGAACTGGCAGGCTATCATTGCCAGTGACCCTTGGGATGGCTCCTCATCCACCCCTTTTGGAAGCCTCTTCCAGGCAGGGAAACCGAGGCCAGGTAGGGGCGGGGCCACGCTTGGGCCAATGGGCGTGTGCCCCGCCCCCAGCCAGCAGACGCGTCCTGGGAACAGCAACCCGCAGCCTTGCGAGCATCTGAGCCATGGCGTGCGCTGGGTTGCTCGCTGTGTGCTTGCTTGGGCCACCCGCGCCTCAGCCGCCGCGATACCCCGCGCCTGCTGCGGGACACGCGCTTTTCCAGGATGTGAGTAGGGCACCGGTGGGCGGGCGCAGGGCTCCCCAGGTCTCGGTCCTCTGTGTCCCTGTCTCTCCCTCCACATTTGTTGGTTCTGCTTCGGTCCCTCTCCCAGATTATCTGTTACCCTGCTGCTCTCAACCCCTTGCCTTTGTGTTCCTTATACTGTCTGCGCCGCTCCGTGTCTCTGCAACAGTGTTAGTATCCTCCACCCTAAATTTGCCCAGTGGGGCTAGGGGCTGTCAACACTGTCACAGCAGCCATCACCGACCTGCTCCATTGCAGCCCCTGCTGGGCTGAATGGACATGGGAGCTTGGTCCTAGAAGGAGCTCTGTCCTGCCCCTGAAACCTCAGGCCTGATACAAGGGTGGCAGAGTTCTACAGTTGGTAAGGGACCCCTCTCATTAGCAGCAGGTGGCACTGAAGCCCCTTGTATGGCTGTAGAGCATCCTGATCTGCCTCAGCCAATGCTCTGAGCCCCCCCCCCCCTTTATTAACCTTTCAATAATGTGCTCAGCTGGTCCTGGCCCTCTCCTGCCCATACTCCAGAGGTACTTGCCAGAGGGAGAGGCTGTCATGCCCCCTCCCCAATGCCCTGATGACTCAGCACATTGACCATGGTTCTTCAGGCCTGAGGAGACACGTTCCAGTCACAGATGGTGTCAGGGGGCACACTAGGATGTGGAAGAAAGTGTCTTTATTCCACGCTTAGCTCGTCTGTCCCACTCCCCAGCCAGGCCACACTGAGCTGCTGTGTGATCCCAATCTAGTAGCAGGCCTTCTCTGAGTCAGCCTTAGGGTTCCATTAGTTGTTTAGGCCAGTGACCCTGAGGGACTTGGTTGGAAGAGTTTAGCACTCAGGACCCTGGCCTACAGGGTTTCTGTCCAGACCCTGAACTTGATGCCCTTTGCTCGGCTGCTTTGGAGAACTGGTTCCTAGGAGGGCAGGACTTGAGAATGCTGCTTCATCACTGCCTCTACAAACAAAATCTGCTGACCCTTGCCATCCTCCTTGCCCCTCACACAAACGTGTCTGCACGGATGCCCAGTCTTTACAATGAGATGGCCTCTTCCCTGGCCCTGGGAAGGTTAAACTCAGGCTACTCCCTCACTACTAGTGGGAAAACCAAAGCACCCACAGAGGGCTAGCCACTGTCTGCCACTCTTCAACAGGCATAAGTGAAGCTCCTGTTCAGTGAGGGTGGATGGAGAATGAGGTGGACTATGGGATGACTCAGAGGAGTAGGGGTTCAGGTCTGATGAGGCTTCCACAGCTCCTCAGGATGGTTCGTGGCCCATCTGTCCAAGCTTCCTCAAGCTGGGACCGTGCCAAAGGCTGATACATCAGAGCGAACTCAGGCTAGCCTCCAGCTGTGGGAGGTGGAGGTACAGAGATCTGGCCAGGAGCACCTACCCACTGTGAAGCCACCCTGCAGCAGGAGGGAGTCGGTGTTAGGACTCGCTGTGCAGTCTTCCTGTACTTCCTTGCTAGAGGCTCCTGCAGGGCTGCCCTAAGCAGGAAGGCGATGCAGGGGACCTGGCTGGCCTGCTGGGGACCCACTGGCTTGAGAGGGGGACCCCTACCTCTCTGGCTCCACTCACAGCACCCACTCATTTCCCTTTGTCCCTTAGGTTTTCCGCAGAGCAGACAAGAATGGTGAGTGTGGCTTCTTCCCCTTGGTCCCACAGTGTGTCTGTGTGTGGGGGGAGGGGCAGGGTAAGAGAACTAGAGACTTGGAGGTACAGCCTAGGGTGATGTCTTGAGACCTCCAAATGGGAGATCAAGCAAGGGATACTGCCTAGAGAGCAAATGGTATGCAGAATAGGGAGCAGGGAAATGGGGTTTGACCTGAGCCTGGAAGTGGGGGGCTTATGTTAAGTAGAATGTTTGCTCAGTGATGGGTGCTTGTACAAGACCTTGTGATGTCCTTACAACAGCTTGCTGGGTGGGAATTCCTCATTCCATTTCATTAAAAAAAAAATTAAAAAAAAAAGGAAGTTTTTGTGTGTGTGTGTGTGTGTGTGTGTGTGTGTGTGTGTGTGTGTGTGCATCAATTGTCTAAGCCTTTATTTAGTGGGTCTGGGATACAGATCCTGGACTAGGGGGTGAGACATCCATTCAACCTCCACTTTCCTCCTCCTTGGACCTGCAGACTCATGTGTTTCAGACTCCTTGTGTCCCCAAGTGCTTGTCATTTTATGAGCCTCTTCAGACTGGTAGGGACCACTAATTTAAGACACATGCTGTCAGTGTATTCTGTGGCAGAGGCTCAGGCCCTTCTCATCTTTGCTCATCACTCAGACCAAATCCCATCATCTTTAAGAATCTTGCTCCTCTGTTCTCTGCCTCTGCTGATATGTCCCGTATGATGGGAAACTAACTCTCATCTGAGCCAGTCTGCTGCATGGCAGTCAAACTGTTAGAAGGCTTCACCTGCTTGTGACCCTGGGGCAAGGCTAGTTTATGTGGCCAGGGACTGTGCCACTAAGTCCTAAGCTATGATCTGGTGTGTTCCAGGCTGGTCTCTTGTATTCCCTTTTGGCAGATATTGAGTTCCTACCAAATGTATCCTGTACAAGTTGGGCTCGGTTTCCTTCAGCATACACCTTTGGGGGCTTTTGCCCTTTTGTCCAAAACAGTCAGGGCCACCACTAAGGTCAGAACCCTAGGCTATCTGACTGAGTGATTGAGAATGCTATCAGGACTTTGGGAGCCTGGATCTGGGGTCAGGACGCAGCCAGGACCCAAGGATACCAACTCCACGCCCTGTCTCTCCCCAGATGATGGTAAGCTCTCATTTGAAGAATTCCAGAATTACTTTGCTGATGGGGTTCTCAGCTCAGGGGAACTGCGGGAACTGTTCAGTGGCATCGATGGACATCTTACCGAGTGAGTACAATAGAAGCAATGACTTGCTGTGGCAGTGCCTGGCTAGGTTGTCCCACCCCACTGTGTCCCCTGCTGTCATGGCTCTTTCTGGAGGCCAGGGGGTGGGGAAAGACGCCAGAGCCCAGTGCGATGTTACCCACCCACCCACACCTTGTTCAGCTCCAGCCTCGTTGCTACGCTGCTTGCAGCTGGGCCCCCAGAATAGCCAGGCTTGAGTCACCACCCGTACTCAACCCTTCCATTCCCATGCAGAGGATGTCTGAGGACAGCTGGGTTCTGCCTGCCTCCGCCTGTGGATGTAGGTGCAGGAATACACATCTTCCCACATGTCCACATACACATCTGATTCAAATGTATAATCCTTCCCTGCTTCTCTATTTGGGTTCACACACACCATGAACATGCACAGCTGCCCTTTCCCCTCCCCTCCCGTCCCATCTCCTCCTTAGTATATATCACAGACTTGATCAACATTCAAGGCTTCAAAGGCTTGGGCTGATCCTTTGAAGTGCCGATGCCTCCCCGCCCCCAAACAGATAACCATGTCAGGCTGAGTAAAAGAATGGGACACTGGTGTCTATGTTCAGTTCACCAGGCCCAGGTTCTAAAAGTCTGATGGATGTTTTCTCTTTCTCTCACAGCAATTTAGAAACAGAGAAACTGTGTGGTGAGTAGGCCTATGCTGGCCCTTGTGTCCCAGCCCCTGGGCAGGTGGGAGTGGTAAGGGATGCTTTATGGGCTACTCTTATGGGATAGGAATGCAGCTGAGGAAGTCCAGGCTGGAGAGATGGTGTAGGCTGGAGCCCCTGAGCACTTTTCCTACCTGCAGACTATTTCTCCAAACACCTGGGTGTGTACCGGCCTGTGCTGGCTGCACTAGAGTCACTGAACCGCGCCGTGCTCACTGCCATGGACACTACAAAGCTGGTAAGTGCAGGGAAGGGTCTATGGGGAGCCTGAAACGATGGCTTGGTGGTGAGGTGGCACTCTTGCCTGCTGTGCCTTGGGGCTGTAGGAATGGAACTCGGGTTCAGATTTGGGTATTCCCACTTAATGACTGCCCTTTACTCCCTGATCATTTTCCTCATGTGGGTCATGGCGGCTCACACCTGTAGTCTCAATACTCAGGAGACAGAGGCAGGATGATTTGCTGCCAGTTTCAGGCCAGCCTGGCTAGAGTGAGACCCTGCAGAGGGAGGGAAAAGCAGAGATCTAGTGTTTTGTCCTTTGCTGTGTTCCCAGTACCCAAAACAATTCAGGCAACAATTCAGGTAGGTGTTTGTTGGCCTGATGTAATTGCTGGGGGTTGTCAAGCCAGGACCTAGCAGGCATGGGCTAGAACATTGGAGACATGATGCATGTCCACAGGTGCGTGGTACCTATGGGGCAGGGCATGTGAGGAGGCAGGTGTGTGTATATATGCCTGCCAGTGTGTTGGCCTATATTATAACCCGTGTAGATGTGTTGACAACCAGAGCTTCAGACCCTTAGTGACCAAAACCAAACAAACAAGAACCCCTCCCTTTATGTGTTTAGAACCATCTCTATCTCTGCCAAGACTAAGTGGTAGCTTACACGTTTTTCTTTTTGGAGACAGTTTCTATGTATAGCCTTGGCTGTCCTGGAACTTGCTCTGTAGACCAGGCTGGCCTTGAACTCACAGAGATCTGCCTGCCTCTGCCTCCTGAGTGCTGGGATTAAAGTCGTGCAGCACCACTGCCCCAAGGCAGCTTACACTTCTAACCCCCGAATTTGGAAGAGGTAAAACAGCTTGAGATTGAACCCAGCCTGGGCATATAGTTGAGATCCTGTCTCAGAAAACAGAGGAACAGTTCCCTCTCCCCAGGTTCATGGCTCTTCTGGGGGTGGAGTGAGCAGGCCTGAGGCTTTACTTTTTTTGGTACTTGAGGACAGGCCCTAAGGCCTTTCACTGCACATGCTAGTCACTGCCCTCTGACCCCACTTTCTACACAAGGGGAAATTGAGAACTTCGAGGATCATTTGAGCACACAGCCTAGGCCGGGCTTCTAGTTCCCTCGTGTAAGAGGTATTTTTTCAAGTGTTCTTTGAGCCTGGCCCTGCTGGACTGACATTCTCTGAACTAGTGGTGGTTTGGGTATTCAAATGAAAGCAAAATGAGGGCCAAGCTTAGTCCAGCAAGGGAAGAGGGCAGCCCATCCACATATAACCCTGCCAGCTGCAGACGCTTCAATCTGTTTATCTGGTTCTCCATGCTAGGACAGAGTTGCAGCCTCTGTCCCTGCAATACCCCTGGTGGCACCCACTCTACTTCAATATAAAACTCAATCGAACACTTCTCGCACCAGAAAAGGACCACACTCCTCGTACATGGCCCGAGTCACCCAGCGGCACTGAAAGGACTGCAAGGAGGCCATCATGGAACCTCCAGTCCACACAGCTGTGCCCCGCCCAGGTTGAGCCACCAGGCAGGGCTGCAGGGCCGGGCACCCATGCCTCTGGCACTGTGCCTCTAGCTCCAGGTTCATGCGCTCCACAAAGCCGGGGAAAAGGGTGGAACCACCAGCCAGTACCACCGTATTGGCCAGCCGTGTCCGCAGTGTTATGGGTATCTTCTGCAGTGCCTGGAAGGCCAATGTGGGCAGTCCTGGCTCAGGATGGCCTAAGAGACTTGGCTGGAAGAGGGGTTCAGGGCAGCGAAAGCGCTCGCTGCCCAGGTGCACATAGCAGCCATTGCTCAGGCAAAAACAGGCCCTCTGGTGGCGGGCAGGATTACAGATATCCCTGTGGAAATCTAGGGACACATAGCAGCAGCGCTTCTTGAGCTGTGTGATGGTCTTGCGGGGCAGAGCCTGCGGCTGAAGATCAGGGCACGTTGCCATCAACAGGTCTCGAAAGTAGCGCGACAGGCTGCTGCCTGCCACGTTCAGACGGAAGGTGGCCTTGTGCCACGAATGACCTGCGTAAATGGGTGTGGCGTGGCACACGCCCGCCCCGGCCTCCACAGCCAGCCCACTGAATGCTCCGGTGGAGCAGAGTGCCAGTAATGCCGTGCTGGCCATGTGGCACGCGGGCACTGTCAGGGCCTCGAACAGCAGCTCTGCCGCTTTCTCTCTGCCCTCCGGTGGTGCTGATGGTGAGTCACTCACTAGCACAGGCCACTGCTCTGGGTGGACCTGCAGGCCTCCCACCATTAGGCGCTCCCACAGTCCCTCCAGTGCGTCCCAGTCCACTACTACACCATGCTTGATGGGGTGCGCACGCGCCACGCCGCCCGCCAGCTCGCAACCCGGTGCTCCTGGCAGTACAGGCCGGTCCCAGCTTGGCATCAGACTCGAGCTCTTCAGCACAATGCGAGGCTGGATCTCCCCAGCGAAGCCCGCCTTGGTGAAGCCGGAGCCTTGATCTACCACCACCGCAACGTGGTCCAAAGAAGGCAGTCTGTGGACACGCCGGGTCCTGCGCGCCGACGCCACCTTCTGGTCTCGGTGTGCCCCGAGGCCCTGTGGGCCTTCTGGGCAGACAACAAGCTCTCAATTCTCAGCTCCACCTCTGGCTACGAGGCCCCGCCTACTAGGGTGGAGGTTCCTTTTGTGGCTCCACCCCAAAGAAGGGATGTGGCCTTGTTAGTACTTAATTCCTCCTTAGGGTCCCAGAGTCCTGGACTCCTAGGAAGTCTCTTGGCACATCACCTAGCTTGGCAAGAGAGTTATCTAGCTGTGGAGGTGGGAAGGAAAGGTTCGAGAAGGAACTTAGATTGGGCTCATTATGACCTCAGTCTTGCAGTGCCACCCCACCCCCTCTCTCCTGCACGGGGCTGATGGCAGTCATTTGAGGCCCCATAATAGAGCTGTGCTGGTGGACCAGCACAGCCGGTTAATTCTTTCTCCCAAATGCTTGGAGTTATCTGTGTACTCGAGTCGCATGCGCTATCCCTTCTGTACCAGTTCTAAAGGTAGAACTCTCAACCACACATCTACAGCTACAATGAGGGCTTCCTTGTGCTCAGCCGATAGCCACACAGGGGGTCTGGACTGACCCCTTCAGCTCTGAAGCTCACGTAACCACCTAAGCAAATCCAAATTTATCTTTCTGGTGTTCCTCCAAAAGACAGCAATGAGCCTCACCTCCTGGATAGACTATACTCTATAGGACCATTTTGGTTGCAAATAGAAGACTCAGATGCATTTAAGCTAAAATAAGGATTACACGGCTATTGGATGTGTTCTGGATCACAAGGGTAAAACAGGCCTTAGGAACAGAATCTGACCACAGGGTTGTGGTTAAATGGGAAGATCTCTGAAAGTTCCCAATTACAGCCCTGGGGAAGGGGATGATAGGGCCATCGTGGGTCAAGTGTGCATGTGCCGAGAACCACGTGACAGGGCAATTAGCTCTCAATACCTATGCTGTGCATGGGTCACACATTTTCTAGCATGATTCAAGCCTGTGGACAGTGACAAAAATGCATCCTTAAGTCCACGGCTTATGGCTCTAGTGAGCTGAGACCTTCCTCCTGCTACCTCTGGCCCCAGGGGAAGCATTCTGAGTTGTTCAACAGTGTGCAGCAGGAAAGACAGTTTGCTTTCTAAAGCAATCTGTTGCACTGATCCTCCTACCCCATCCTCTTGAGTGCTGGTATTATCTCAGCGGCTACAACTGGAGACGGTAACTTTAGGGTCTGGTCTGGAAGTTGGGTGTGGGATCCAAGAAAGTCAGCAGTTGGCTTCTGCCCAGAGCATGCTGCTTCTCTCAGGGATGATGCAAGGAGTAAGACTGGACCCTGAAGGCCACTGGTGACATGTCAGAGCAGGGGACAAACGCCGAGAGGTACTGCGGGAAGACAGCACATCCCAATTTTAGCCATGGGCTTTAGTAGGGGTAGTGGAGAAATAGTGGGAGCTATGAACAGGGAGAACAAACTGCCCTGGACAGGTTAAGGGTTTGGAAGAATCTTCTGGCTACATGTGGGGGTAGAGGATGGAACTGGGTACCTCAGGAGGAAAGGCCTTTGACTATCCTTTGACTACTTGGGGAGCTGAATACTTGGGAGTTACTGACCACTGCCGGAGTGAGAGGTCAGAGGCTCAAGCCCCTCTTCTTGAGTGTGTTGCCTTAGGTAGAATCCTAGGTTCCACACCACCATGGCTGGCTGTTCTTCCTGGTATGGTGTCTGTTAGCAGCCTGGGACCCTCCCTCCATCCAAGGTTTTTTGTTTGGTAAGTAGTTTATGTGCATTGGTGTTTTGCCTGCATGTGTATCCACGTGAGGATGTCAGGTCCCCTAGCATTGAAGTCACACACAGTTGTGAGCTGCCCATGTGGGTTCTGGGAATAGAACCACGGTCCCCTGGAAAGGCAGTCAGTGTCCTTAACCGCTGAGCCCCTAAGAGGGGTTTTTGAACATTGAGGACACTTGGAGACCTCAAGCCTTTGCCCGAAACAAACAGGTTCTTCCAAGTGTAGCCAAGTATAGACTGCTCAAGCCCACCTTGAGCCTGTAGATCTGGCATGAGCTGACTTTTGTGCCACAAAGATAAGGGAAAAACAGTCCTAGCTCCAGGTGGTGGTTAAGTACTCTTCATTCCTACTCACCCGAGGTTTCAGCTTTGAACCTGAATCCGATGGTCGGGACAGAGGTGGCAGACAACCAGGTTGCTATGTGCTCTTTATTGAGCAGAGCCCTAGCGCTGGGGGTCGCACCAGGCACTCAGGACCGCGGACGAGGGCAGCGGCGCCGCTTGCGCGGCTGCTCCTCGCGGGGGTCGCTTTCGCCACAGGCCTCACGATGGGTCAGCAAGTGCGCATACAGCGGCTGCCAGCCCTGCGGGGCCTTGGCCCCGCCACCCCGCCCGCCTGCCCCGCGACGCCCTTCCTCCTGCAGCCGCGCGTCCAGCTGCAGCAGCAGCACCAGGATCCTTTTCATCTCCCGCGCGCGCGCGCCTTCGCGCCTGTCCACGCCGTCACCTGCCCCACGCAGCATGGGCGCCACCGTTGGGAAGCATGTCGGGGCGCCGAGCACGTCCTCAGCTGGCCGCCCGGGCCGCGCATACGGGCCCGCTGCTGCCTCGGCCAGCTGCTGCCGCTTGTCCAGCGGGAAAAGCAGAACGATCTTGGTCTGGGGGTGGGCGTGTGGTGAGGGGAAGAACGCGCCCGAGCAGGGCATGAAGCCACTCCCGCGCCTCTGGAGGACCCAACCTGCCAAACCCCACGGTGCCATCAGGGCCGTTCAACCCACATCCCGGGAGGGGACCCTGCCTCCTCACAGGAACCCATCGTCCACCCTAGGCCGATCCACTGCGTACTTTCCCAGCCTTGATGCGGGGATTCTCACCCACCCGGGCGGAGTCAGGGGCCTCTCGCCATTGAAAGAAGGGGAAAGTGATGTGTTGTGAGGCTGTGGGCTGCAGAGAGGGAGTAAAGGTTATTCCACATTCCACGTCTGTGACCCCAGCCTGACCCCTGGTAAAGAGCCCTTGCTTCTGGGTCCTCTATACCACCTATGTCGGCTTCAGGGACCCCCCCCCAAAAGAGATTCTCTAACCCCTCTCATCTCTGGGTCTAAAGGCGTAGACCCCAGCACCCAGCATCCCCCTGGGCTCCCCATACTCACACTTGGCTTCTTCCGCTTGAGGTGGCTGAAGAACTGCTTATGACGGGCCTTGTCCATGTCAGGCGGCCCGTCCTTGCTGGCCTGACTGGGTGCTTTGATCCTCTTGTGGGAACTGCTGTTCCCCATGGTAGGACTGGTCACTAGAGGCCACTGCCCATGCTGCCTCGGCCCTGCCCTCTACCCAGGGGTCCCGTTTAGCCCCGCCCCACCAGGTGAACTGCATTGTGAGCTCACAAGTGACCTCACCACACCAAAAGCTCTGTTCCTCCCCTGGAACTCGGCTGAGAAGCTGGCCTCTATTCACTGTCTATGACCTCTTCCGGTCTCTAATTCCCACCTGCGAAACAGGGCTAGTGCTTTAACAAAGTGATGCTTAAAGGTGAGTAAGGGGAATTTCTGTGGCTATAATTTGAATCCTGGCCTGCCACTGATTAGGTGCTTAACCTTGGCTAAGCTCTAGGCCCCAGATATGAAGTGGAATCAACCATGGTTCCTACAAATTAGATTGGTTAAATGAAATTGTTGGGATGAGTCTGGTACAGGGTGGGTGGTTCTGCCAACCAGGGTTTTTTGCTTGCAAACGGCAGAGAACCGATCAGTCACACCTCCAAAGGGAAGTAACCGAAGAGATATCATGGAAACAGAACCCACAGACTTCAGGACAGGAATCAGGCACTATTTCATTGCATTTGTTATAAGCATGGCTCAGAAGGTACCATCTTGGTTGAGCCAAGGCAGGTGATAGACGAGAAATGAAACCTATGATAGATGTCACTGTGGAGCCTCGTCTTCATGCTCCCCAAGACTCTGAGAGTCTTACGTTTGGGTGTGTGGTGGGGGTGAAGACTTCTAAGGGCATCCTGTGACTGTCCAGGTATGTAGCTAGGCAGATTACTAACAGTATGTTCCATAACCGTGATGGCATTTCTATATTGAGAACAACGACGGCAGGCACTAGGCTTAGCTCTATGTAGCAAGTAACTGAGGGGAACCTCAATTCAGTATGGTGGGGAAATGGAGGCACACGGTGAAAGGCACAAGTGTGAGTTTCCCAAGGTGGTCAGCACAGGGTCTGAAGCATGGTCAGTCAGCCCGTGTCTGCAGTGGGCAGTGGTGGCGCACGCCTTTAATCCCAGCACTCAGGAGGCAGAGGCAGAGGCAGAGGCAGGTGGATCTCTGTGAGTTCATGGTCAGCTTGGTCTACAGAGCAAGCTCCAGAACAGGCCCTAAACTACAGAGAAATCCTATTTAAAAAAGCAAAACAACAACAAAAATGTTCCACCTCAAACAAAACAAAATTCTCCCTGTCCCTGCTTACCTTAAAGGAACCGAGGGGAGGCTGGTAGTGTGTAGGCAAGGGTATTTGTCTCTCTTTAGTGACCGGGATGTCTTGTATATGTAGTGTCTCACAAAATCCATGCAGAAAATATTGGTTACACAGATTGGTGAATGGAATGATGAAAGAACAAACAAATGCATATGTAGACTGTGAGTTTGGTTCCAACAGGTCAGTAAGAGGCCACATCACACATCATTTTGTACCAAGTATAAAACTGGCCTTACAGCTCTGTGCCCTCACCCTGCCTGGCTGTGCCCAGGAGCCCCACTGGCTGTGGCAAAGATGAAGACCAGCCTTAACAAAGAAGAGAAACTGAGATCCAGGAAAACCAGTGTATCAGTGGGTTGTGACCCTTATGAGTCAGCTTCATACCTGCCAGGATGAAAAAAAAAAAAAAAAAAAAAAAAAAAACCAAACCAAAAAACAAAAACCCGTCTGGACCAGGAAAAGGGCCCATTGGAAGCCAGGCACAGTGTTGCCCACCTTTAATTCTAGCACTGGGGAAGCATAGGCAGGAGGATCATGAATTCAGGGCCAGCCTGTGCTGTCTCGCAAGGAAACTAGAAAGTGAGTGAGCAGCCTGGGCTCTGCACCTTTCACTTACTTCCCTGTTGCTCTCACAAGCCAGGCTTAAGCCACAGCTCTTTGCCCTGCCCACAGGAGTATGAACAGGCCTCCAAGGTAGAGCAGTTTGTCACACGATTCCTGCTTCGGGAGACAGTGAATCAGCTACAAGCCCTGCAGAGCTCCTTGGAGGGGGCATCAGACACCCTGGAGGCCCAGGCCCGTGGTCAGCGGTACGTGAGTGTTGCTGACCTCTGTCTGGGCTGTGAGTGCCTTTTGTTCCTGCATTCCGAACTCCTCAGTGTCGTGGTCCATTCAGCCTTCTGGGATGGGTAGTTTGGGGGCTGGGCTTCAAAGACCCAGGAGACCTGTCATGCCCCACCTAAGCTTGGTCTTGTGCTGGAATCCCAGTCCTTGACCCTATGGGTCTGGGGACAGAAGGCTGACCTTCTACTTTCTAGGTTGGATGAAGTAAATATGGAGGTGCAGAGGAGGTTCCATGGCAGCAGGCGGGCAGGACGCAGAGCCCTGAGGAGCATCAGCTGGTCACCAACCTGCTCTCCTGGATCCTCTGATACAGGTGTGCTTGTAGCAGGGTAGGAGCTGGCTGCATAGAGTCCAGGGGAGATGTGGCATCTCCTATTCTCTCAAGGCTTTGCTCTGCCACTGTTCCCAGTTCATCCTGAGAGGACTCTCAGGTTCAGGGGCCCCTGGCTGATGTTCTCCTGGTCCTGTCAGGGTGGAATTCAGAGGCTGAGCTGCACTGGCGGCTGCAGGTCAACCGCCTCCAGGAGCTCATAGACCAGCTTGAATGCAAGGTAAGCAGCTGGGTGGCCAGTGCCCCTGAGAGATAACTTCTGTGGCACTTGCCCAAACCAATACATGTTAGAGGCTCAGCCTATATTCTTGTACCTTGCAGGCACCCCGGCTGGAACCCCTTCATGAAGAGGACTGTGCCAAGGGTCCTGACTCGGTGAGCTTGGAAAAAGTACTTATGAAGAAGGGTAATGGCTGTCTACTCAGACCTGGTAGGCAGATGCTGGGTTCTGGTTCTTGCTCTGTGACCCTCTTAGGTTCTCTGTTCTCTGTATCTCTGACAGTCAGGCCTGAGGTAGGGATGGAACCTAGAGGGCACAGTGGGAGGTGGTACAGCAGAAAAGGATGGAGTCAGAGATGCTGGGAGGTCTTGTCGGTTGTGGGGACCTGAGCCCACAGCGGGCAGATCCGAACCGTATTAGCAAGGGTGAAGTTCTACTCCGAGCCTCGCCTACCCCAGTGACTAGCTGCTCTCTTGCCAGCACATCCTTGTGGCACAAAGGCAAGTACAGGTGGCAGAGGATGCCCTGCAGGATTTTCAACGTGCCCTGTGCTGCTACATGAACTTCACAGGGGCCCAGAGCCATTGTCTGCAGTGAGTCCCTGGCTAGCTAGTGGGATGGCTGAGGTGGGCAGGGTTGAGCAGGGAGGGATGGTGGGCTGGGTACTCTGGGCAGGGCTCTCACAAGACCACTGGCAGGTAGGCAGTGGTGGTCACAGCCCTGGTCCAACCTGGCCACCTCTTTGGCTCTGCAGTGTGTCTGCGGAGAAGACGCTGGACCATGCTGCCTTCACCCTATATGAGCTCTGGCAGGATGAAGCCTCCTGGAGGAGGTGAGTGGTGGCTTAACATCTGACACTTAGTGTGGGTTCTGGAGGAGTTTGGACTAGGTTCAAGTCCTACTCTCCTGTCCACTGGCTGTGTGATTTCAGATAACTGACCTAACATATCTGGGTCCCAGATGAGATGATGTGTAAAGAATGAATGCAAATTAGGTGTCAAGTGCATGCCTGTTACATCAACACTGAAGGCAGAGGCAAGAGAGCTCAAAAGTTCAAGGCCAGTCTGGGCTACAGAGCAAATTCAGCATAGTCCTGTCTCAAGACAAACAAACAGACAGACAGAGAGAGTAACACAAATTGGCCAGGATGGCACAAACCTAAAATCCCAGAACTTGAAAGGCAGAGACAGGAGGATCAATTATTTAAGGCCAGTTAGCAAGACCCTGTCTAACACAAACTCAAAACAATACAATGCCAGGTGCGAGTAGGCACACAATGAATGTACAGTATTGTTAGTGTATGACCCTGTGCCTTCATTTAGTCCTTGCAGTAGTCTAGTGATGTAGGTACCTTGTTCCCATTTTACTGAGGGAGAGGACTGAGGCTAGAAGTAGTAGAAGGGTTGGTGCCTGAATCCTGGCAGCAGGACTAATCTTGGGTAACCCAGAGCACTGACCTTAGAGCAGATGGTTGCAGCCTCTGTCTATTCCATGGTCCTCCCAGGCACCAGCAGTCACCCTGCAGCAAAGCCTTCCAGCGTACCCTCATCGATCACCTGCGGGCCCCGGACACCCTCACCACTGTGTTCTTCCCAGGTGCGCTGTATCCCTGTGCTCCAAACAGCTCTGGGGCCCAGGAGGGGCAGCCCCCCCATAGCTCCTGACCCCCCCAATCTCTTACTCACAGCCTCCTGGTGGATTGTGAATAATAACTGAGTTGGATCTGCCTAAGCTGGTGACTCTCCAGCCCAGCCTATCATTCTAGAGCCTCCTGCACTGGTCAACTCTACACTAAGACCAAGGAGCCTGCCTGTTCTCAGGCCAAGGGCCTGATCAGCTGGTAGAAGGTGTCAGCACAGGGATCAGAGATGGGGCTACTTGCTTATTTATTTTAATGTTTCTATCTTCTAAGCACCCAGGCTTCTGCCTGACCCAGGAAGCCCAGATTCTGGTCCCTTTATTTTCTGCCTTGCTGTGTGACCCAGGCAGATCCCATCCCTCTCTGGCTGCCTAGGGGTATCCCGCTTTCTCCTTGCTGTTTTGGGGTCAGGTTTCTGTTCTTCCTCAACCAATGGCAGAACCAGGGCTGATGCTCAGGGACCCCCTCAAACCCTGGAACATTGACCCCTGAGGCTAGGCCAACTCATAGTCTGTAGTGTAGAAACCTGGGTGTCTATCACCCTTGTAGGTCAGTCCTAGAATTTCTAGCATCAGGGGCTGTACCGGAGACCTCTGGAGGATGCAGGGTTGGTTTGCATGTTACTTGCATATCATTTGCATGATCTCACCCCACCCATTGGCATCTCAGGACACTATGAGAGCCCCAAGACCTTGCAGAGTAGCAATAATTTGGGCTTAGAGTTGTCTGTTGCCCCCAGAGATCACTGAACCCAAGTCTGGGACCCCAGCACAGAGGCAATAAAGTTGGTGGTCACCTGCGGTGTTGCCTCTGTCTGTCTCTCTTCTCTCCCTTGGCAAGGCCAGCCTTTCCTGGCCACCTTGATTCAAAACTCAAGAGAAGGAAGTTGCAGTTGGTTCCTAGCCGAAGCTGCCTCACAGGAAGAGGGAGGAGCTTCATCATCACTTTCAGCTCAAGGCTATACTCCAGATCCTACTTCCACAGCTCTGCCTAGGAAAGGGGAATGATACGGTCCAAGCTCAGCTTCACCCTACAGAGCCTTCTTGGTGTTCCAAAGAGCCTGCTTGGCTGGATTCCTGAGTGCACCTATCTCATGCCAGAACCTGCCAGCAATCCTGTCCTCATCACTGTCTCCTAATAGCAAGCATATCCAGAAGTCCTACCAGCCGTAGCGGGATGGGGGACTCCCATAGGACAAGACCGAGAAGTAACTAATGTGGACACCTTAAATGATAATCTACAGGGAGGCACAGGGTATCACATGAGCATGGAATATGTCACCTGTCTCACGTGGGGGCCCCAAAATCTGAGTGGCAGAGATATTCAATTCCAGTCAACCAAGAGAAGCCAAACCAGAGGGATACTGAGACCGGGGGAAGGAAGAAGACGGAGAGTACAGCTGGGGAGGCAGGGCCTAAAGGGGCTTCATTCTGGAAGCTGCAGTAGATCTGAAGCCAAGGCTGGTGGCCAGAGTTGGAGTGCTGCTCCATTCATGTCCCTGTGTGCCTGACTGCCAGATCTTTGCTGGGTGCTGGGGTTTGGCCAGAAAAACATCTCTGCTGGCAGGAGTGCAGATCTGGCCTCCAGGCAGGCTCTTTTCTGTGGGTTCCCCTCGTGACCTTAACAGAGGCCAGGATGCCTTGGGGCCAGCATCTGAACCCAGCAGGCTCTAGAATGTGCTGCCAGTATCTGGTCCACAAGGACCCTGGGCCTCCTTGGAGAGGTTTGTTGCTCACACTGTGGTTTCCATGTTTCCTCAGAGGGACCCCCACCAACAGTAATAATAGCTCTCACAACTACAGGCATGAGTTGCAGTAGACAAGTCTTGGCCAGAGGACAACCTCAGGTACTCTTTTTTTTTTTTTTTAAGATAATGTCTCAATGACCCGAAACTTGCTGAGGCTTTGCTGGCTGGCCAATAAGGCCCAGGGATCCATCTATCTCTACCTCCCTAGTAGAGAGCTCAACCTCACCTGGCTTTTTAAAAGGGTCTGGGGAATGACCTCAGGTCTTCTTAAAAACTTTACTGACTGAGCTATCTCACAAGCTCCTTGCTTTGTTTTGGGGACAAGATCTTACTTTGTAGTAGCCCAGGTTAGCCTGGAAGGTATGCTCTTCCTGCCACCACACTTGGCTCCATTATCTTAAAGATGCTTCAAACAACCGGGTGTTGATGGTGCACACCTTTACTTCCAGCCTTCAGGAGGTAGGTGGATCTCTGTGAGTTTGAGGCCAGTCTGGTCTACAGAGTTAGCTCCAAGACAACCTCCTCTGAAGGGGAGCACTCAGAATCTGATGTCCTGGAAAGTTTACTGTTCAGCCCTCTGAGTTCACTTTTGAGACAAGGTCTTCATATAAGCCTTGAATTTTCTAAGATCTTCCTGCCTCAGCTTCCTAAGTGCTGGGACATACTTAGACCTGGCCTTGAGGCTTTTATTTTAGAAAGGGTCTTCACTATGTAGCTTGAACTCAGAGCCCACCTGCCTCTGCCTTTCAAGTGTTAGGGTCATGTTATACAAGCACTGTTCTACAGAGCTACAGCTTCAGCCTTTTCTTTCTTTATTTAGGTTTTTTTCTCTTTTGAGACAAGGTTTCTCTGTAGGTTTGGAGACTATCCTGCGACTCTTTGAAGACCAGGCTGGCCTCGAACTCACAGAGCACCACCTGCCTCCTGAATGCTGTGATTAAAGGAGTGTGCCACCACCACCCGGCTGCCTTTTCATTTTTTATCTTACTTTGGAGATAGTGTGACACTTGGGTGACCTTCCTGCCTCACTGTGCACTGCCATGTCCAAGTTCTGTTTTAACTTTTAGTTTGGTGACAGGATCTCAGTAAGTTTCCAGGCCTTGAACTTTTGGTTTCTCTGCCTCAGCCTCCTGAGATGCTGGAACCTTTACTACCAGGTCCAACTAACTCTTATTTAATAAGCCACCTGTACCTATCCTTGCTCCCTCGCTGAAGGCTCAGAGCTGCTAGGGAGGACACTACAGGTGGAGTATCTGTCCTGCTGGGAGTCCTCTAGGAGACTGGCTGGGTTTGAGTTTTCCTTCCAAGTTTAAGCAGGGGATCTTAGTGGATGGAGGGGTGGTGGGGCACAAGAGCCACAGACAGCTATGAAAGGACAGAGTGAAGAGGGAGCATCAGAGGTCAGGATCCAGGCAGGTCCAAAAGGTGTAGCTATGAATCCGGAGTCTTAGCTATAGGAATCTGAGGCTGGGGCAGTGAGGACACACTGTGCCTTTAATGATGTGTACTCCCACAGCCCACCTCATCTTTGTCTTGCATCAGAACAGTGACACAGCAGCATCATCAGGCTGCACTCTGTACTGGAAGGAGGCCCTGACAATGTTCATTCCTGTGGTCACCGCATCTCTTTTAGCCAAGACCCTTCAATAGCTCCTCTTTTCTTCGCCATTGATAACATTTCTTGTCTGACATTTGAGATCTTTCCCATTCCCCAATTCATGCAGTCCCCTTTCCCTAAATCACATGAAGGCTGAGGGGCCATCCCCAGCTTTAGTCACCTCTCCGTGGCCTCACACTGATGTCTACTCTAGACAAACACTCCTCAGCTTTTTAGCTGTAGGCCAAAGACACAAACTCAGCATCACCCCCAATACCATGGCCCTCAATGCCTGCTATGACTGGATCTGCAGTCCTCCCAACAGTTACTGGAGACATGCTCTGTGATAGGCACTAGGGATAATATTAGCAACCAGGACGTGGCCAGCTGAGTGAGCCCTGAAGCCAGTGTTCTGGCTTCTTATCTAGGAGCAACTCCACCTTCCTGAACTGCCTGTATCTGTGACTGGGGTCTGGAGTAGGATCAGGCCAGGTGCAGCAGCCTCGCCAGTGCCCACTGCTTCTAGCACCTTACTTAGCTCCTTGTGTACCAGCTCCTGTTGATACAGCCTATGAAAAGATAAAATGAGGGGACTGGAGAGTAGGGTTGTCAAGAGGTTATTCTTAGCAGGGGTGTAGCCCTGGCTAGCCTGAAACTCACAGAAATCCACCAGCAAAGTCATTCTTAAAGTAGATGTTACTTGAATAAATCCCACAACTTCCATGTAGAAAGCCATTAAGGGATCAGACTGGCTGGGAGAAAGTGTGATAATTATGCTAACAGTAGCTCCCTAGCCAGAGCTAGGGTGAACACCACCATTACACTTTTCTTGGCAGTGACAGAGGTTGAGACAAGACTATGGACACTGACTGGCCTGAGACCTACTATGTAGAGCGTGCTGAACTCAAACTTGTGGCAATTCTACCTTTGCCTCATATGTGTGAGTGTATGTCATATGTGCCAGGTGTCAAGGGGACATCAGACCCCTTGAAAAAGCTGAACTTACAGGTGACTGTGAGCCTCCTGACCTAGATGCAGGGAACTCCACTCAGTTCCTCTGGGACAGCAAGTGCTCTTAACCAGCTCTCTAGCCCCAAAGATTAAACAAACAATCCACATGTGTGTGCGCGTACATGTAGGTGCCCTTGGAAGTCAGACTCTTTGGTTCTCATGGAGCTTGTTGTCAACTGAATTGGGTCCTCTGCAAGAGCAGTATTCTCAACCAATGAGCCATCTCTCCACCCTTTAAAAAATGTTAGAAGTTTTTTGTTGTTTTTCTTTTTTCCCCCGGTTTGGATGTACGTCTGTGTACCATGTTTGGTGTCTGTGGAGTCCAGAAGGCGGCACTGGATCCCTGGGACTGTAGTTATAGACAGTTGTGAACTGTGGAACTGAACCCAGGCCCTTTGGAAGAGCAGCTCTCCAATCCCTGGTTTGAGGCAGGGTCTCATGTAGCTCAGGTTGGCTTCAAACTCACTATAAACTTGAACTCTCAATCTTCCTGGGGTCATTTTTAAGTGCTGGGATTCGAGGAATGTGCCACCATACCTGTTTGGCTCCCTCCCAACCCCCAATACTCCCCACTTTTATTGAAAGTAGATCCTCCCAAAATACCATTTCCCCTTTCTCTACCCCTCCCAGTTCCTTCCCACCCACCCTGATCCACTCTCTTTCTGCCTCTCATAAGAAAACAGAAAGGGAGCTAGGGAGTGGTGGCACGTCTTTAATCCCAGCACTTGGAAGACAGAGGCAGGTGAATCTCAGGCCAGCCTGGTCTACAGAGTGAGTTCCAGGACAGTCAGGACTGTTACACAGAGAAACCCTGTCTCAAAACCAAACAAACAAAAAAGGGTTCAAGGTTCTAAGGGATAATAAGGTAAAAACAAAACTAATACACTGGAGTTGAACAAAACAAACACAAGGAAAAAAAATGCCAAGAAAAGGCACAAGAATCAGAGATCTGCTTGTTCACATACTTGGGAATCCCACAAAAACTCTAAACTGGAAGCTGCAATAAATCCACAGAGAACTTGGTGCAGACCTGTGTATGCTGTCTGAGTTCATGTGAGCTTTGATCATGTTGACACAGAAAGCCTTGATTTCTTCGCGTCCTCCATCCTCTCTTGCCTTTGCTCTTTCTGCCTCCTCTTCATGGATTCCCTGAGCCCTGAGGGGAAATATCCTGTTTAAGGCTGAGTGTTTCAAAGTGTCTGAGGTAGAGAGAGTCAAAAGGAATTTTTTAGTTTAAAGAACAATAATATTTGGTTTTACCCTAGGTCCCTATGTTAGCTAATCTCAGATTCTTGGTCATCCAAGCAATGCTGGGTATGGGTTTTATTCTGTGGAGTGGGCCTTAAGTCAGGTATTAGTTCGTTCCTTAACACAAGTTTTGTGCCACCATTGTAGATCAAAGGGTTGTTGACTGAGTTGTTATGCTCTTTCCTTTCCTTTCCTTTTTTTTTAGACAGGGTTTCTCTGTAGCTTTGGAGGCTATCCTGGAACTAGCTCTTGTAGACCAGGCTTGTCTCGAATTCATCGAGATCTGTCTCCCTATGCCTCCCAAGTGCTGGGATTAAAGGCATGCGCCACCAACGCCTGGCTGTTTGGTTTTTGGTAACATGCCGAGTACCTTCCTGTACCAAAGATGCAAGCACTGCCAGTATGGGTGAAGGTTCTTATGTAGCCATCAGCTCAGCTTCTCCCAGTCCAATGATTTGCATAGGTATTGTCTTCAGCAATGAGGCCTTGCCACCAGTTTATGTAGTCTCGCCGACAGCCTGGTTTGTTTAGGGATGCCCATGGGACACCTTTGTCCAACAGCTCAATTAGATGCAACACAATTCCAGTACTGGAAGTTTCATTTGGTGATGAGATAGCCAGTTGAGGTTCTGTCTCCATTATTTAGTGATTTCATTTAGATACCTTCAAGTATGTACATATTTTAGGAAGCTCCTACTGTATTTAGGTTCATACTGCCTCTCAAATGGCTCTTAATTTTAGCTGCCTCTAGTTGTATTCCTTCCCTCATCCCTTGATCCTTCTGTTCCATCCCACCAATCCATCCACAACTATTCTAATCTCCCTTTCCCAATGAGATCTATCTGCCCTCCCACCCCATCCCTTGCTTTATATCTAACTGCCGTGGTCTATGGATTGAGTCAGTTATCACTGACTCAAGAAACAGTATCCACATACACTGCCTGGCTCTCTTATGATCACATTGGGTAGGCACTGCTAGCACCCCAAGTTACAGGAGAGACAGATAGGCAGTTATAGGTTTTGCTCTGGTACTAACTGCTACTTGTCAAGTGTGGGAGGCACTGAAAATGGGCATCCTTGGGTAGCAGTATCCTAGCTAAAGAAGCAGGGACAGTGATGAAAGGTTCTACTCAGTGTGCCAAGGCCAACCAAATCTTGAGGTCTAGGAGGTGTCAAAGCAAGGTACAGTCCAGCTCAATTCCTGAGTTCTTCTGGAACTTCTTAATGAACTCAGAAAAACACCATCTGAACTTATAGGATAGAGAGTCTGAGAAATGACAGGTGATCTCTGCGAATTTTGAGGGCAGCCTGGTCTACAAAGCAAGTTCCAGGAGAGCTGGGGCTGTTATACAGAAACTGTCTCAGAAGATTGGGAGAGCACTCGAGACACTCAGAAAAGTCTAAAGCCCAGACAAACACAAAAGCAGTCATAGGATTACCCTAAATAAGAATTAGCTGGGATGGAAGCAGAAGTAGCAGGCACCATTTTGTCCTCCAGAGGGCACCTGATACCAAACAGTGAAGCTGATTGAGACGTGGAGGTAAAGTATAGCCTCAAATTACACATCAGTGAAATTAAGAATTAATGCTAGTACAGAAGACATAAATTTTCACATGCCCAGGTATGTTAATGTTGAAACTTCATAAGGAAATAACAAAAGTGACTAAGGGCATTCTGTGGCTGAATGTTCTTAGTAAAATCACTCAGTGGAGAAGAACCAAGGACGCTGACCACTATTGCTGGCGAGATGGCTGCAGCTGGCTTCATGGAAGGCTCTAACTGTAAGCCTTTTGAGACCTCTGCGCTAGAGTCTTTATCCTTAACAGCCTACCTTCTTCCTGATTTGTCCAATCTCATGCTCTTTTGGCCATAGCTCCACTGGCCCTTCACCAAAGTCTGGAGATGGGGGAGGAAAGAGAATGTGTGGTGCATTATGATACCAAAGCCTGCGGCAGGCCACCTGGCACACATATCATCACTATACTATCTTGCCCAGGCCTAGTCCAGCTTGAGTCAGAAAAGGAATATAGCATTTTTATTAACTACTTTAAGTAGAACAAACTAAATACGTATTTAACAGTTTTGGTTCATTTATACAGTACATTAAATAAGTTATGCACAGAGTTAAGTAACAAAAGTTCCTATTGAGTCAAATGACAAAGCACAGAAAAACCAGATTCAAATGTGTCCTGTGGGTGGCTTCACATTCATCACCCACCTCTGCAAACCATGCTTGGAGGTTTGGCTCTATTTACATTATTGGTTTTCTGTAGGGATGGAGCCTTTGCAGCCTCATGAGGAACTTGGAAAGCCACAGGAGTGGAACGAAGGCCTTGTATCAAACAGCCCTTTTAGCCATTCACTGGAACAATTGTTGCAGCTTCTCCTTGGCAACAAGGCAGGGACTGGGCTGTCCCTGACAGACACCAGCTGCACATGCCCTATTTGGTATAAGCATTGACTGTGTACACTGGGCAGCTGGAGGCTTGACAAGATGGGGTCTGAGTGCAAAGTACTACCTACCTTTTGGGCTGCGGAAGGTGAGATTGGAGGGTTGAATCATTGCCCACCATCTCAACTTCTTCCTGGCTCACACTCCATCATCTTTGGAAATGGGTGTCAACACGAGGCAGAAGCAGGTAGTTCAGCATTTTGGCTTTACAAAGAATATACTTGAGTGGGCAGGCTCTGCCAAGCAGCTGCCAGCCAGGTCAAGGATCTTCCACAGCTGGCCACCTGGCCCACACTGGCCAGCTCAGTTCCTTCTGGCTTCTCTCACATTTGGTTCACACATGCCACCACCCAGTTCTCCGCAAACAGCTAACATTCATCAAAGCACACTGGCTTGGTCTTCTGAGCCAGGAGCCTGGAAACCTTGGTTCTAGTCCAGTTCTGGAGAAAGCCTCCAAGATGTGTCCTATTTGTAATAGTTTATTCAACCCACAATCCCGTCTGCAGTTTCCAGGACGATGGCCATCTGCTCATTCCTTATGCTCTACTAACACACACTTGCGGTTCTGTTGAGTCCTCACATACGTGCTGAGATAGCTTCCAGAGCCACTCAGAAAAACGTCTTCACTCTCTATAAGCAGGTATGGGTCATTTCATCTTTTGGGACAGGGCTATATGAACTAAAATGTAGATATCCCCTCTGGAAGCTAAAGATGCTAGAGTTGACACCAAAAAGTGAAGCACCTCCTGGGGACCAAATGTGTAAAAGAATCCACCCTGCTGAAGGTAACAGCCAACACCTTGAGCAGACCTGAGCGGGGCAGATGTTTCCATCCTCCAGAAAAAGCCACTCAGTCTATGCCCTCACTACCACCTACTGGCATGAGCCAATATGGTGGAGTTGTGAGGGACCCTTCTTCAATGTGATTTTCTTTTATTGAGATAGGTCTTATGAAACTCAGGTTGGCCTCAGAATTGCTATGTAGTAACCAAGGATGATCTTAAACTTCTAGTCCTCCTGCTTCCACCTCCCAAGTGCTGAGATAACAAATAAGTTGGTTTATGTTATACTGAGAATCAAATCCAGGACTTCTGCATGCTAGCCACACTACCAAATAAGCCATATCTCATCTAACTTTCACAGCATCCTACCTACCAAGTCTTCATCATTTGCTAGAGTGAGGGATGGTTGCATAAGTCCAGTCTGACTACAATTTTATCTCTTACCTGGTAGAGGACGATAACTCTGATCTTTTTTGTTCCCCAAAGAGTTACTGCAGAATGCAGACCTCTGAGCAGCCTGACTCAGCTGTTTCTCCTTTTCTCTCTTAGTGTGGATGAGTGTAAGCTTTATGTTCCCTTTCAGTCTCATAATGGATCGTATTAGCAGACTAGAAATGAAGTGGGGAGCTGGGACTCACTCCAACTGCTACCCTAGATGCTGCTGCTCCTCCTGACTAGGGAGAAGTTAAAGAACTGCAGAAGGGAACTCCTTGAATCTGAAAAGTAAGTCCTAAGCAGATGCCACTTAAGAGTGATGCTGACCAGAGTCAAGGCAGTGACAGGTCTGAAAACTGAACTATATAGTTTGCAGTACTGTCCAGGTTTATAGACAAACCTGTGAAGGGCACGGAAACCAAAAAGTCTCCAAACAGGACTATAGTAACTCAGAATCTGTCAGGGAAACCATGTAGCCCACAAAAGTAGGCCAGGCCCTTACCCCAAACCTTTGCTGTAGAAACTGATCTCCAACCTGGTAAGAAGTAGTGTGCCGGTTCTAGCTCTTAATACTAACTACCTGGAGTAGTCCTGTAGTTCTAAGACTTTTTAACACTCAGGTGTCATCCAATTTACTAATGAATAATGAACCCAGGTAACACCAGGAGACATCCTCAGATTCTCAGAAGCCTGTGATCTCATGACACAGCCTTGCTATCTGGTACTGACTCTACCTAGTAAAGCAAAGTTGTTCCCAGTGGCTAGGATACTCAACAGCAGGCTGATGGGGATTCGGCCAGGCAGGTCAGGCTGCACTAGATTGTCTGACAACTAGTGGGTCTTGGGTATTCTATGCTGAAAAATGATTTTAAAGGTCTAAGTCTCTAAAATTGAAAATCCTTGTTCAAATAAAGTAGGGACTCAAAATTCTTAAAATTAGCTGTAACTGTATGCAAGGACAATGACATCCATGCTTTTATGGGGAAAGGGCTAATATTCAGACTTGGTCATTGTACAGAAGGTGACCACCAGTTCCAAAAGTCAACAAGATCAAAGTTGATGTCTCATCCTAACTGCCTGCCTGCACAGGGCAAGAGGATACTGGAGGATACTTAGTGGAAAGGGAAAGGTACTGGGACTCCTAACAAACCTCAAACAGAAGTAGAAAAGGTGTGAGAGGCAGTATTTAGCCTGATAAATAGGGAACAGATGATGTTCTATCTGGAGAATCAGATTGGAAAAATCCCTGAAGATGGGAAGAAAAACTGGTCAGGCTTTTTAGTTCCCATACTTCACAAACCCTTTCTGAGCTGTGAGGGTTGCTATCAAACATATAACACAGAAAAAGGAGGCTAAGAATGTCCACCTGATAAAACCCATGTAGTGGTGTAATGTCATAAAACCAGGTATGAATAATCCATCCATTGGCATCAGGAGCACTGTCAAACAGAACCTATGGTCAAGAGACAACCCCAGTGATCCAGACATGCACAGTGAGAGATAAAAGGACACAAAGAACAAGACGACTGTTTAAACAGCCAAGCAACAGCAGAGGGTTTTGCATTTCCAATATTGCACTCAATATTTTAGTTTGGCCAGCATGCTCAGAGAAAAGACTAACACAATGGTTTCATCCTCTCTCAGACCAATCCATGCGATGGAGATTATTTTTTGCACAAGCAAAATCAAGTTAAACACTGGAGCTGGGAGGTGGGTTCCAAACTAATGGAGCTGGCCAGGTTGGAAAATCTTGTCCAAAACAATCTATGATGCTTAGGGAAGACTGCTTTAATTTTTAACCATTACTAGAGACTTTACTGAAGTGGCTTCTTTCTGGCATATCTGAGCATCTTAGCAGATCTGAGTGGCTCAGGAAGGAGTCCTGAGTACTGTTTTCTGGCTAGTTGAGTCTGTTAAACCAATCAGTGCCATTGGAGGGTGAAGATGTGGCTCAAGAAACTGTTTGGAGGCAAGGGGAGGAAAGGTCTCCTCCATTAGCCTGCTACCAGCCTTCAGGCCTCTACTATGGATGGTATGGAGCACAGATGCCTGGTGGACACTACTGACAATCTGCTGATGCAAGGAGTTGGAGGGAGCTGGTGGTCTACACTGGCCAGTTACGCCAGTTTTAGGTGGAAGAGAAACATCAGGAAAGCCATGGATGAAGCTTAAGCTACTTTCTGTGTGCAGAGAATGGCACACCAGTTCTCCCAAGGACACATGGCAAATCCTAGAGAAGCTGTGGAGTGCCTCTTGGATGCTTCCTGCCAATTCATTTCTTGCTGATGACTCAACAGCTACTTGTTTAATTGCCAGCTCCCTGGTGCAAGCATTTTGCCATGTGGAGTGGTCATCAGGGCGGTGGAGTCTGTGGCTCAGAGTCCATTGGCATCGATGGCTGTCACAGAGGCAGGTGTTGAGGAACGTGAGGTGGTGGCTGAGGTCTTGTCCAGGGCTGGGCTGGGCACACTGCAGTCAGCAGACCTGGCTGAGCCCCGCCCTCCGGGGAGCAGTGGCCGGCTCTGGCTGTGGGGACTATGGCCATGCAGACTCTGGCCACAGAGGCGGTGGTGCCGTTCCCAGTCCTTGTGCTGGCAGAAGGACCCACAGTAGCGAGCAATATTGCAGCCACTGCACGTCTCACTGGCTTTTCGGCCACAGTTCCAGCAGTTCTGCAAGACACAGGCATCAGTTAGTGGCTGCTGATATCTTGCGGGGCAGGCTTGCCGCTGTTACTTGTTATCTGCATGGTAGAGCATGGGTCATGGAGCTACACACCTGTGGGTGAGTCCTCCGAGGATGACCTTTAATTCCTGACCCTTGTGCTTCTCCCTCCCAAATGCCAGGGTCATGGCCACGAGCCACCTGGCCGGGGTCTCAAAACTACCTTCTCCAGACCACACATCCACATATGAGGCTTGAACAAACATTTTCTATGGCAACCAATGGAGGAACCATTTTCACATTTTTTACTGGCAATATTCAATCCTTACCCCCACCCCCAGTCGTCCCTGGTAGGGTTTCTCTGTGTAGCCCTAGCTGTCTTGGAACTCACTCTGTAGACCAGGGTGACCTCAAACTCAGAGATCTGCCTGCTTCTGCCTTCAAATGCTGAAATTAAAGGTGTGTGCCAAAACCATCTGGCTAGGATTTGATCCCTCAACAAATATTTTAATTAATTGATTGATTGATTTGGGGGGGGAGGTGTTAGGAGACAGGGTTTCTCTGTATTGCTTTGGAGCCTGTCCTGGAACTAGCTCTGTAGACCAGACTGGCCTCGAACTCAAAGAGATCCGCCTACCTCTGCCTCCTGAGTGCTGGGATTAAAGACATGAGCCACCAATGCCTGGCCTTAACAAACATTTTTAAAGGAATAAAGGAAAACAGACTTTTTTTCCCCAAAGCTACCTGCCAAGGAACCAGGATGGATGAAGAGGGAGGTGGCTTGCTACTGCTTCCTTTGTCCTCTGCCTATATCCTTCACTGCGTGCCAATTACAGATGGGCTGAGGGGAGCTGTAGTCACTTGTCAAGACCACTCAACAGTGGGTACCTGAAGTGGAGCTTGGGGAGTTTTCTCACTGCTTGTTACATTTATTCACAGTAGGGCAAATAATCCTGAGGCTCAGCAGGAAGCACCAGCTAAGGACAGTAATTCTATCACAGAATATAAGACCTCAAGGAGCAGCCAGGAAAGTGTCAGGACAGTCACAAGTCACTAAACACACAACTTACTAACATCTCTAGGTGACTGGGAGCAAAGACAGTATTAAAAACAAAATAACAAACAAAACACCCACCCCTGTGTAGCCCCACCACTGACTCCTAAGTCCTTTGCTACCTCTGGGAGGAATACACTAGTGACATGAGATTCCCAGGACCTACTGGTAAAAGGAAGGTTTTTTTTTATTTGTTTTAAAGGTTCTAGTTTTGGGGAGCTATTAAGGACAGAGCAACTAGCCTTTTTGCCTACAGGGACACCAGATTGGCATATTTTTTCTCAAAAGTCTGACTACATACAGTAAGTACTAGCTAGTGAAGAAAGACAGTCTTCTCCCTAAACTCAGAATGCTTGACCAGAATATAAACAGATCTACTGGCTCCTTCCTAGCATTGTAAGATGGGAAAACTGAGGCCCAGATGTGCTAAGCCTAGAATGTCATCAAAGGGCTGGCTATTCAAAAAGCCTAGAACCTGGGTTTCCTGAGGTCCAGATACTCCATACATAGACTTACTTCAAAGCACATCAGAAAAGACTACAGATCCTTTTTAACTCCGGCTTCTTGGGAAATGTACTATAGGGACAATAAAATCTTGCCACCACCACTTCCATCAGAGGACAGAATTCAAGAACTTTTATGTTCCAGAGTTGGGAACACTGTGAGTCTGATGGGGTGCCAAAGGTCAATACCTCAAGTTGATAGCACTTGTGAGAAACAATCTAGGAGCTGCTTACACAGGTTGCTACTACCAGGCTCTCTCTCTCTCCAGGTGTCTCCAAGGACATCTAAGAACCTGGTCAGAACACCAAGCCAACAACATTTCCATCTTGGCTGCCACTATTTAACAATATCTTCATGCTATATGAAATATAGTAGAAAAAAGTAAGAGCCTCCAGAGATAGGCTCCTGGTATGCAGGCATAAAAAATACAGTTAGTGTCAGGAGAACTTGGGTGAAGGAGTGGCACTGGTGTGTAGTTTCAGTTATCTGGGAGGCTAAGATTTAATCTGAGACCAGCCTAGGCAATATGGTAAGTAAGACAACTTCTTGAAACAAACCAAACAAATGGTGTAAGCCAGGCTTGGTGGTGCCTGCCTATAATTCCTGCATTTGGGAGGTAGAAGCAGGTAAGTCAGGAGCTTAAGGTAAACCTTGGAGATATAGTGAACTCAAGACCAGCCTAAACTGTGAGGCCCCATCTCAGGAGAACCCTCAGCCCCAAATAAAAACTGTTTACTGTTTAGTTACCCTTCAGATCAGTATTCCTCACAACCCGAGCCACAGACTTGGCTCTTCTGTAGTTATTGTGGGAAGGTCATAAACCTGAGTCACTAGTTACAGAAGTCAGGGTTATGATTACAGGATCTCCTTTGTTAACGAGAGGCCACTGAATATCACAGCATCTCAGGTAACATCTATCAGAATTACCTGGGGCTTGTCAAAAGCCTTGGATCCCAACTCAAAACTTTTGGCAGTCCTGGCCCACAGGAGAAAAGACATCCACTTCAAGGTCAATTGCTACCTTATTGTATTTGCCAGAAAAATTGGAACATGCCTTGTTGGAGAGATGACACCCCCTCCACCACCACACACACACACTCCATTCCAGGCAGAGTGCTAGACAGTGGTGGCACCACCTTTAATCCCAGCACCCAGGAAAAAGAGGCAGGTGCATCCCTGTGAGTTCAAGGCAAGCCTGGTCTAGAGAGCAAGTTCCAGGACAGCCAAGCTATACAAAGAAACCCTGTCTCAAGAAAATCAATCAATCAATCAATCAATCAATCAATCAATCAATCAATCAATCAATCAATCAATCAATCAATCCAACGTTCCCAGGCAGAAAAGCAGCCTGGGTCTAGGGCAATGATGCCAAGAGCAGGAGCTACTGTAGTTTACACACCTCTGGAAAGTATCACATATAAACTCAGTTAAACTCAGTTTATCTTCCTAAAAGCTATCAGGCCAAAATGACAGGGCAGTTATACCCTCTCTAGAGACAACTGATTCCTTAATGACAAGTCAGTGTGAAGAGAAGGTAGGAGCATGTGGCACATGCTTCTCATGTGCCACACAATTTCTCATGAGACGGAGAAAGTGCTATTTATCCAGCAGGATTTCTTGAAATGCAGGAGAATCAGCATTTCTGGTCCATTGCAAACTCACCAAAAGCTTTTGAAGTGCAAATTTGCCAGGACCCATACTGGCATTCATTTCACCTGTAGACTACTTTTACTTTGTTGTTTAAAATTATTCCTTATGTTCTAAACCTAAAAAATGACTCAAATGAGAAAGTTGGCATGATGGTGCACATGTATAAATCTCGGCACTGAGGAGACTGAGGCCAAAGGATTGCCCAATAACAACCAGGATTACACAGTACCAGGCCAGACTGGGCTATAAAGATCCTGTCTCAAAAATCCACCACCCCTCAAAAAACGAATGAATGAATGAAGACTGAGATGAAAGTCGAAAGCTGGGAGTGGTGGTGCGAATCTTTACATCTTTATCTCAAAGCTTGGGAGGCAGGCAAAGCTCTGTGAGTTTGAAGCCAGCCTAATCTGCACAGCAAGTTCCAGAACAGTCAGGGCTACATAAAGAGATCCTGTATGCAAAAAAATTAAAATTAAAATAAAAAATCCACTGATTTCAAATATTCCAGTGCTAGGGCTGAGTGGATGTATCCACAGTCCTATCTCCTCTAGAGGCTGAATTTATCAACTCAGTGAGACCATGTCTCAAAACAGAAACAAGAAAAGATTGGGATGCAATTAAGAGGTAGCACATTTGCTACCCAAGGCCATAAATTTAATGCCCAGTACAGAGGGGATGGATAGCGGGCTGGAGAATTTTTATTTTTAGTCTTTGTGACCCATCTTCTCCTATGTGTATCAGGCTCACCTTGAACTCTTAAACCTCTGGCCTCAGCCTCCTAAATGCTAGGATTACAGGTATGTAAACATCATGTCCACTTGCAATTTTCATTGTATTGAAGCATCACCTACTTTTGGGCCCTGGATAGGGTACTGGGCAGTCTACCTATCTGTCACTAATATAAACTGAGAATCAACATCTACCCAGTGAGGTTACTGTGAGGATTAAAAAGAAGTATACATATATAGCTAGGTATGACTCTGCACACAGTGAGCCCCCTACAACTATAGCTGGGACAAACATCTGCCTTCACAGAAACTAAAGCAATCTACTGTGAGTATGTGACAGACTTAGATAAAAATCCATCCTCTAGTGGACTCTTTGGACCCAGCACCTCAGTAGCAAGCAATGGGTTTGCTCCCCTTCAGCTGCCCAGCCCACCCCAGCCCACAGCCCAGCACAGCTCTGACCTCTGTGGATTCTTCTTGCTCATTGATGACCAGGAAAGCATCTTCCGCAGCTTGCCTTTTGACATCCGCTATGGTTTGCTCCATTCGAGCTCTCTCAGTTGCAATCACTTCAAAGGCTTTTTGCTCTGCCTCAGCTACAGCCTTTTGTACCTCTGACATGGCCTGAATTTTCACCTTATTCACAGCTTCTTCTGGAAGAAAGCAACAGTAAAATCAACTGGCAGAGAAATCTTTTCCCTCCCAACCTACAACATTGGAGGGTAGTAAGCAGGGTTCAAAGAGGTAGGTTAGTATGTTCTTCACTATACAGCCTAGACTAGCCTCAAACTTTGGTAATCTTTCTATTTCTGCTTCCCAAGTAGTGAGATTACATGCATGTGTTTGAGCATGAAACATACATTTACATTCTATTCTTACAAGAGCTCATCCATTGATGTAACTATTAGGTATACACTCAGAAGTAGATGCTATTTAAGGCTAGGAATACATAGGTGAATAGACACCATTTTCCTACAAGTACCTCAGTGGCTTAGGTGCCATCTTATATGTCAAAATAAGAGACTAGTCTGCAGACTATGCAGAGTGAGTTCCAGGACAGGAAGGCTACAAAGTGAAACCCTGTTTTAAAAAACAAAAACAGAAGATTTATTTTTCTCATTTTTAAGAGTATTTTCAAACTGTTTTACATGGTAAAAACAATTGTTTTTGATGTCTAATTATGAATTAACAAGCCTATAATTCTACCTACTTTGGAGCTAAGGAGGGATTTTGACTTCAAGGCCAGTCTTGTCAACTTAGTGAAACCACGCCTTAAAAACAAGGGGGGTGTGGCTTACTGGGGAACATAGTTCAGAGGTAGAACTGCCTAATATACCCAAGAACCAGCATAAACTCACTGTTGGAAACCATGGGTGGTGCTAATGAGACCTAACACAAACTTAACCACAGAGCTGACATCTTTTAGCCCTAGAATAGTCTTGGGTAAGCTAGAGGCAGGGAAAGGAGCTAGAAAGATGGCTCAGTGGTTATGATCATTCATTGCTCTTGCAGAGTTCTATGGAGATGCTCAGTGGATAAAGGGCCTGCCATGTAAGTGTAAAACATGAATTTTTATCTGCAAAACCCACATAAAGCCAGATGTGGAAGCATGCATCTAACAATCCCAGTATTCCCACAGGGAGATGCTGAGTAGAAACAGAACTCCCAGAAACATCCTGGCCACCTAGCCTGGAGTTCAGAGCAGGAAACGAGACAGGTTCAAAACAAGGTAGATCAAGGACTGATACTGAAGTTGCCTTCTGGCCTTCATACTGTGCTACCTCAAACAAGAAAACTTAAGAAGAAAATCAGAATTCAGCAAATATTGTGACAGTGTGGATACAAAGAGGCCACAGCAAATAAATTCTCTCTTCAGCAAAGAGGCCACAGAAATAAATTCAACTTCTGTCAAAATGAAGGAAGAGCTAGGTATTTCATGCTTTAATGGAAGCTGGTAGAAGGGTGTTAAAAGGCCTAGAGGGACCCATTCCAAACTCCTGACCTGCCAAGGATCAGGCAAGCAATTCAGTCCAGGAGATGTGCAGACCAGACGGAGGGAGAGTAGGAAAAGCCATCAATCCTATGAGGACATTATGGACGATTGAAAGCAGGTTATGAACCTTTCCCTAGTATATGGGTTCCCAGCTTGCATAAACTAGTGAGGACAGACAGCACACTAGCAGACAGATACACACCTGTTTTCTTCCAAAACTCCACAGGTACATATCCTGTTCCTGGCCGACTGGTGAATTCCCGCTGAGAATCTACATAAGAGATAAAGAGCAAGGGATCAGAAGCTTTCTTCACCCAGTATTCAAAACCCAAGTTCTTGTAAAAGTTAGGCAAATGCTCTAAGGATACTCTCTAACCCTGACACAAAATTTCTTCTCATTTACCACCTAGATCCAAATATGTATGCTTGTTTAGTACAAAACATATTCAAACTAAGAAGTAACTTCAAATTATAAAACAGTATACTCAACTCTATAAGTAGGTAAACACAAATTTTTTGTGATGGCCCTTGTTCATGATAAATAAGAGCTATACCAGTAGGTCACAGAAAACATGGGACATCATATACATGTATTCAGTGTAACTTGACTAGGGATCACTTTTGATACTTTTAGAAAAAGTGTCCCCATGTTACTCAGGCTGCCCCTCACTTATAACCAATCCTGCCATTTTTATTTTTCTTTGAAAGATTTATATTTAGCTTGGAAGTGGTGATACACACCTTTAATCCTAGTGCTCAAGAGGCAGAGGCAGGCAGATCTCTGTGAGTTTGTTCGAGGCTAGCCTGGTCTACAACTATACAGAGAAACCCCGGCTACAAAAACCAAAATAAACAAAAGATTTATATTTGATTTTCATTAAGTGTGTGTTGTGTTATGGAATATCCCTTTACACCATGTGAAGATGTATCTGGTGGCTGGTTTAATAAAAAGATAAACAGCCATAGCTATGCAGGAGGTACAGTAGGGAATCTGGACAGATGGAGTGCTGGGAAGAAAGGTGGAGTTGCCAGCCAGATGGAGAGGGAGCAAGACATAAGAAACAGGTAAAAGCCATGAGTTATGTAGATGAATAGAAATGGGTTACTTTAAGTTATAAGAGCTACTGAGACAAGCCTACACTACAGGCCAAGCTTTTATAATTAATAACTAATGGTCCTGACAAAAAGTCTGACTATATGTGTATGGATTTGAGTCTGTATAAGTGCCTTGCTTAGGTAGGTCACATTCCCTAAAGCTGAAGTTAAAAGTGGTTGTGAGCCACCTAAAGTCCTGCCCCCTGGAAGAGCATTTAGTGTTTTTAACTGCTGAGCCACCCCCTCTAGCTCATACCCTACCATTCCCCCGACCCCCCTTCTCTTCCTCCCCTTCCTTAAAGGCAGGGTTTCATGAAATTCAGACTAACAATTAATTTTCGAAACTCTTGTCTTTACTTACCAAATGTTGTAAGCACAAGTGTGCACTAAGACCACACCCAGTTTTTGTGATGCTAGGGACTAACCCAAGGCTTAATGCATGTTAAGTAAACACAACATCAACTAAGCTATATCTCAGAAAAATGATGCAACAGAAATCAGACATGCTGGCAATGTTCTCAGACTCTTAATAGGAGACCCTGGATCTGTGAAACACTAAATCTAGAGCAACTAGAATTTATCAAATTGTCTTCATTTTGAAAGGGAGGTGCTAGTAATGACTTGGACAGATCATAAAAATAATAATCACTGTCGTAGACACATTAGACAATATGGTCATCCCAGCTAGACCCTCAAGTTAGGGTGGTTTGTACTAAGCACAGCAGTGTTTTGCTGAGTGCTTTTAGCCTGTACTCTGCCATCCCAGCTGCACACATGCATACTCATGGAAGTAATGCACGTGACTGTTGATGTCGGTATTCTGTCAAACATCTCTAAGTGGCTTCAGGGAATATTTGTTAAGGGCTCACATTTGTTAGAGTGACCCGAAAAGTAGCCTCACTTGTTTTTTTAAGTTTTAAATCAAAGGTGTGCTCGAATGTAAATTGTTTCTTGATATACCAGCTATCCCATATAAAATGGTGACAAGTAATGACTGGCTCAAGAGCCACGCCTGTCAATTAAAAGAGAAAGTGGCAGCCCTTAGCTATTTAGGATAAGACACACATTATTAATGCTGGCATTTCCTCAAAAATTTCTCCCAGTTCTTCTGAGACCAACAGCTGTCTTCTATGAAAAATGCTAGCACTGTCATAAGAAGAAATTCATTCTCTCTGATGAACATTTGGGAACTTTAAGTGGGTGGGTGGAGAAAGAGTGTGATCACAGATGGCCTGTCATTCAGCTGTGCCTTTGGATAGGGCACCTTTTTAGCTTCTAGGGGAAAGTGATGAACATTCTGGGGGATAACTCAAGCTTCCTGGATATATCCTAGGGATAAGAGCTACTCATCTCTGCTGCATCAAGATGTACAACCCAGTTCTGCCTAAGCTCATCTTTTGAAGGCAGCTATCAGGAAATGGAGAGTAACTGAGGAAAGAAAGCAAAGTGGGTGAATACCACCAAGAAGGAATATGGTGAATGCAGCCATCGGAGTACCTAGTTATGATGTGATATACATAACTGGTGCCCTTTTCTTTCTCCCTTACTGATTTCTGTTATGCTGTGCTGAACTCAGATGAAGCTGGGCAAGTAGTCATCATTAAGCTATACCCCAGTCACCAAAGTTTAGATGTCATCATTGTTTCTGGCTAATAACTCCTCCATTGGAGGCCATAGAAGCCCGAATTTCTCCTCCTCTTGCTCTTGCCTTCACCTGCTACCAAACCTCTCTACTTTGGGACTGGCCACAACAAAGCCATAGGATTTGCTGATTGTTCATGCTGTAATCTCAGCAAAGGCAGGGCTGAAGCAAGCCTGAGGTCAGCCTAGACTGCAAAGTGAGAACCCATCTCAAAAATAAACAATAAAACCAAACCCAAAAGTAACAAAATTGTTTGAATGTGCCCTTGTCTGATAATATATTATACTGATGGGTCCTGCCCCTTCACCTAGACAAGGAATTCTACAGAATAGCAAAAAGCACTGATGCACACATGCCTTCCTTGATTTCCTCATCCAGTCTATTGTAATTCAACTGCAATGATATAGCCATAAGACACAGGATTCATAAAGCTGGTTAGCTGAAATGTGCAGTTTCTGAGTGTGACAGGTCCAGAGAAGCCCTGTATTCCTTCCCCTAGACCTTGTATCTCTTCATGTGTGTCTTTTGTAAACAGATAAGCTTGCTTCCCTGAGCCTGTGAGCAGCTAGAGCAAATCAATCAAACCTAAGGAGATAATTGTGGGAAGCATAGTTGATAGTCAGCAGATCAGAACATGAACAGAAGAACCTGGGGCTTGCAAACTTGATGTAATGTGACAGGGAGGCGTCAGGCTCAATAGATAACCATCTTTGTAGCAGAGGCCAATGACCAGAGTTCAATCCCTGGAAACCACATGGTGTATAACAAATATTGAATATTGTAAGTTGTCCTCTGACACCCCCTCAACACACCAATTAAAAAAAAATTAGTAGTAATGAAGGGGATAGCAAGATAGCTCAATAGGTTAAAAGTGCTTGCTACCAAGCCTGGAGAACTAAGTGTAATCCCTAGAGCCAATATGATGGGCTGAAATAACCAACAACCTCCACAAACATGGCACACAAACACATACACAACTAAATAAATGTAGTTAGGCATGGTGATGCACACCTTTAATCCCAGTACTTGAGAAATTGAGGCCAGTCTAAGCTACATAGTAAGAGTCTCAATAAACAAACCAAATGAGTGCTACAGAATAGCTGTAGAATAACTAGGAACTCAGATCTATCTGATATTTAAGTGGAGTGAAAGCTGCTGCTCCTTCTAGGCTACCCCTTACTATCCTTACCGTTGCTGAGAGAATCTGTACTCCCAGGGCTGTGCTGTCTGGAGACTAGCTCAGTCCCAGATTTCCTCATCTCTGTGTTTTCATTAAATCGCCTTTTCCAATAGTTGAGTTCTTCACGATCAGATTCCTGACAGCGCCTCAGAACTGCCATGGACCGTCTCGTTTTCTCTACCATTTCCATAATGCAATTCAGGGCCTGAGCCAGAGAGAAAGTGAGGTAGAGATGAGAAACTTAAACAAGAACAGTGAAATTCAAGGATGGACAAACCACAGGGGGATGGGGAGAAGGACTCACAGATTTTATAACCTTAGGAATAAAGGTTACATTTGAAAGTCATTCTTATACCTTGACTTTTAAAATTAATTTATGTGTGAGTATTTAGTCTGCACAAAAGTCTGTGCCTATGTATTGCCCTCAGAGATGAGAAGAGGGGAAGAGAGTCCCCTGGAACTAAGTTACTGATGGTTGTGAGCTGCCATGTAGATGCTGGGAAGCAGACCTGGGTCTTCTGCAAGAACAGAAAGTGCTCTTAGCCACTGAGTCATCGCTATAGTCCCTGTTATACCTTTTATTTTATATATACAACTATCTTTTCCTATCCATGGAGGTATTGGTTCTAGAATCCTCTAAGTACACTAAAAGTCACAAGTGCTCCAATTCCCTTATATAAAATGTGTGGCATTTGCATATATCCTGTGCACATCTACCCACATATCTATGTCACTTAAAAAAGTCTTTACACAGGCCAGCATGGCTCAAGAGGTAAGGAGTACTTGCTGCCCTCAGGAAATTACATGGTGGAGGTAGTCCTCTGACTGTCACATACAGTGGCACAACACAACACCACACCTACATACACAAAATAAGTATTGCTTTTCATGAAAGAAAAACTGCTGTCAATAAGCTACCAGATCAGTGAGTAGAAGAACTTTTCTCCAGGCTTGAATCCCTGGAATCATTAGGTAAAGCTAGATGCTTTTGTAACAATGCAATCTGGGGCTGTTTCTGTAACAGACACATGCATGCATACACACATACACAATGTACTACCCTCTAGGTAAGGACCAGGGTCAAATGATGATGATGATGATAGTAACAGTAATAATATCTGAGTTAAACCACAATATGCAGTTTTCAAGTAGGCACTGCCTATTTTCAGGGAGAAGAGATGCTCTCCTCTGATGGGAAAGAGAACATGAGCCTGTATCGGTATACTAATTCTAACTTGGATTTGTTTAACTTTCCATGTGCCACACGCTATAAAAACACTTTATGTATTATTACAAATAATGTCAATCTTTTTTTTAAAAGGAAAAAGATTACATAATTTAGTGGTGAATGTGTTTGTGTATCTTCATGTGTATATTCCATGGCCCATGAACGAAGTCAGAGGACAACTTATGAAGAGTTGGTTCTCCCCCACCTACCCTGTGGGTCTTGGGAATCAAACTTAGGCTCTCAAGCTTAGCTGTGTCTTTGCTCACAGAGATATCTCACTGAACCTTATTTTTAAAGGAAAGAATAATGACGGCTAAAAGAGGTAGAGTAACTTATTGAGATCACAAAGACATAAATAGCAAGGCTGGAACCTCTGCTTTAACCATCTATTTATTACATGACTACCTGGTTTAGGAACTGGAGAGACCAGCCTACCATCAAGATCTGGGAGTAACTCAGCAGCTCTTCATCTGAGCAAGTGGTGAAAATAAATCAACTTCTGTTCAAAAGTCTTGTTCACTTCAAGCACACATGAACTTACTGGCAGCATTAAGAATTAAAAGAGCTAGATGTCATAGTACATGTCTAAGTAGGAAAGTAAAAAAGCAAAAGTGAGTGGGCAAAATGGTTAAGAATGTAAAGGGAGCTTGCTGCTAAGGTAGAAGACCAAATAGTTGTCCTCTGAATCTCCACATTCAAGTCATGGCATGTACACAAATGTGTACACAAATACACACCAACCCCCCCCAAATAAATAAACTATAAAGATTTAAAAGTAATAAGGACTTAGGGAAATTAAACATATTGAGATTCTTACATGGTCAAGATGTTTCCATTCATCAGCCCATTCCCTTTCTGTCAAACGGTGGTCTACCAACTCATCTTGATAGCCTCCATTCAGATCTATTAGAAACAAGAGATTATATTTAAAGAATACAGAGCAACTGAATTCTATCAAGGACCTGGGTTCCATTCCTAGCACTTTTGGGGCATGACTCCCAAACTCTTACCAATTCACTTGTAAAGACAAATCACAAAATAAAAACAAACACAACAGATTATATCAGAAAAGGAAGTACAGATATATCATAAACATCTTCTAAGGATAGCAAACCTTCCATGTTATCAGGGGTTATGCCCCTTTCCTTTGTTCACATAAGCATTTCATATCCAACATTCTGGAAAATAAAATATCAGAAGTACTCTGTTGAGTTGGGTGTCTATGGTGGCTTGAATAATGGGCCCCAAAAGGTCACATATCTGAATGCTTAGTCACCAGAGAGTAGCACTACTTCAAAGGATTAGAGGGTGTGTCACTGGGAGTGGGCTTTGAGGTTAAAAAAGGCCAAGTCTGGCCCAGTGGCTCTCTTTTCCTTCCTGCTGCCTTTGGATCCAGACATAGGCCTCTCCAGTACCATGTTTGCCTGCATGCTCTGCTGATAATGGGACCAAACCTCTGAAACTGTAAACAAGTCCCAATTAAATGCTTTCTTTTATAAGACTGCTGTGGTTTGGGGGGGGGGGGAGCTGATGTGGTCATGGTCTTTTCACAGCAAGAGAGCACTAAGAAGTGCTGTACTACATACACATCTTTAACTCTATTACATGCAAAGTAGAGGCAAGAGAATTGCAGTTTGCTCTACCACCGAGCCACACCCTAAACACTGTATCATTCATTGCTATTTTCTAATGCCTAAGCACTAGTACATTTTATTCTAAATACTTTTTTATATTTTGGATAGACTATAGATCCTAAATTTAGAGATATAAGGCAAGCTATAGATTGTGTCCATACACTTCATTTTAGGGGAGTGTACGTACTGATTCAATTAGGGGGAGGAGCATATGATAGTTTGGTTAATGTGGACCAGTATAATAGGGCACACATTTCCTAATAGGTCTAAGGAAAACAAAGGGATTAATCATGGTAAGTAACCAACAGTTTCAAAGTACAATTCTAGATGTAGATACACATTTTTTAAAAAAACTGTTAGAAATACAAGTAAAATTTAACAAAATAGAGTTATATTGTCTAAGGGTTTTTAATGCTGTGCAGAGAGAGACATCATGACCATAATAGTTCTTATAAAGAAAGCATTTAACTGGGGTGAATCGCTCACAGTTTCAAAAGTTCAGTCCATATCATATCATGGAGAGCATGACTGCATGCAGGCAGATTGCATGCTGACTCCATCTTGACATACAGGCCACAGAAGTCAAATGACAGTCATATCGAGGGAATATTTGAGTAAAAGGGACCTCAATGCCCGCCCTCACAGTGACACACTTCCTCCAACAAGGCCACACTCCTAATAGTACCACTTCCTTTGGGGGACATTTCCTTTCAAACCACCACACCTAGCTTTCACCATTCTTCTTTCTCAAATGGGCAGGAGCTGTGTATGAAGAGGTTATTAAAAAAAAAAAAAAAAAAAAAAATCAATAGCCAAGTCTAGCTCTGAAAAAGAATTTAATGTTATTATTGTTTGTCTGATTGTATGATGATGTTGACTATGATGATACACAGATATGTAGAGATGTATTTGAGATTAATAGGCATTCTTCAAACCTTTCAAAGACCTACAGAATATGGCATTTAAAATGATTTACGATTTTTCTTGACAATGAGACATAAATGCTCCTGTCAGAAAGGAAAATAGACATTGAAGAAACATGTATTGAGTTTGCTTCCAGTATGGCAAGACTAGCCATCTGGACAAGATACTGCTCTTGTCTGGACTGTTTGACTTTGTGACGTATAAACTGGACATGCAGGACCCACAGAAAAGTGACTGCTGATTCAAGATGGACATTGCTACAGAGTTCTTGCTTCATGGAAGAGACCGCCAGACAGTCTACAGGACACAGAAAAAAGTGACTGACAAACTGCCAATACAAGAAGATAGTTTAAAGTTTCCTGCTTTGCTGAAGAGTCTGCCAGACACACTATGGCCTATGGGCTGAAGATGAAAGATTCCAAAAAAAACTTCAGGTGACTGACAAGGCAAGATGTCTCTGTCATTTCTAGAGTTTATATATATGTGGTCTTTGAAGACAGTTATGGTTATAGTTTTCCTTAGTTAAGCTTAAAGATAAGTTACATATAGGACTTTAGACTCATAAATATAGGATAGATGATAGAATAGTTTCTTTTAATCTTGCTAAATGTTAATGGACTAAATATTGTTAACTGTGATTCTTACCTGATAACTGTTGTGTTATGTATTTTGCTATGTTAAGGTTAAAACCCTTCTTTTCATTTAGACAGAAAACAGGAGATGATGGGAGATGTCATTCTGTATATATGTTTCTCATACTGGTTAATGAATCCAAGCACTGTTGGCCAATAGGAAAGCAAGAGAGGAGGGACTAGGAGACAAGGAGAGAGGAAGTGGGAAGGAGGAGTCAAGATGGAGAGACAGGGGAGACCAGATGCCTGCCTCACTCTCTCCGTTAAGACCACGCAGAGATTAATAGAAATGGGTTAATAATTAAGACAGAGCTAGCCGATAAGAAACTAGTATCTGGCCAACAGCATTATATCTGATACAGAGTCTTGTGTTAACTGGGGCTGGCGTGGTGGCGGGACAAGACCAGCGGTGGGAGGAAAAACCTACTCCTTACAATGGAGGTCAGAGAACAACTTTATGGAGTTAATTCTCTTCAGGAATCAAACTCAAGACCCAGGCTTACATGGCAAGTGCCTTTATTCACAAAGCCATCTTGATTTTAACTAAGCCTAGATTTAACAGCTAAACAAAAGGCATGAGAGAGTATGGAAGGACACTAAAGAAGGTATGTATCATCACCTGCTGACAATGTAGCCAATCTCAACATCAGGCAGCTTAGGAACTGAATATTGTCAAGGTCACTTACTAGCTATGTGACACTGGCCACAGTTACTTTGATCCTCTCTGTATGAAGAAATTACTGATTGTCTAGACCTTCCAAAAAGATTGAATAAAATAATTTGTGGTAGCTGAGACTCAGTAAGTGCATGGAGACAATACTCTCATGGCCTTCACCATTCAGTAAGAACTGCATGAAGCATGAGGCCTTAGTGAGGTTTGTGCCTTGGGAAGATGCTAGTCAGCCTAGGTCCAAGTGGGAAATAATCAATGTGTTCTCCACAAGGTACCCCTAACAAATGAAATGCAAGACAAACCAATCAAGATGGCAGGCCTATCCTCTCCCCCCATCTCCCGCCTGATTGATACTGAGGAGTTAAACTCTAAAGATTCATTTACAAAAGAGAATGTGACAAAAAAAGGTCTTTTCAAAACTGATCTCAAATTAGGACTGTGGGTTTTTTAAATGGTAGTGTTTATTCCTAAATGTAATAGTTACATAGGCCTATGCTTCAGGCATTTCAGGAAGTTATTACTCTCAAGACCTGTATGACAAGAACTTTAAGTCTCTGAAGAAAGAAATTGAAGAAGACACCAGAAAATGGAAAGATCTCCCATGCTCATGGATAGGTAGGATTAACATAGTAAAAATGGCAACCTTACCAAAAGCAATCTATAGATTCAATGCAATCCCCATCAAAACCCCAGCACATTTTTTTCACAGGCCTAGAAAGGACAATACTCAACTTCATATAGAAAAACAAAAAACCCAAGATAGCCAGAACAATTATGTGCAATAAAGGAATTCTGCAGCACCATACCTGACTTCAAATTCTACTATATAGAGAGCTACAATAATGAAAACACTTGGTGTTAGCATGAAAACAGACAGGTAGGTACACCAATGAAATCAAGACCCTGATGTCAATCCACACACCTATGAATACCTTATTTTTTAACAAAGAAACTAAAATTATAAAATGGAAAAAAGAAAGCATTTTCAACAGATGGTGCTGGCATAACTGGATGTCAACATGAAGAAGAATGCAAATAGAAGTCCAAATGGATCAAACACCTCAACATAAAATCACACTGAACCTCATAGAAGAGAAAGTGGGAAGAAGCATTGAACACATTGGCACAGGAGACCACTTCCTAAACAGAACACCAGTAGCACAGACACTGAGAGCAGTGATTAATAAATGGGACCTCCTGAAACTGAGGCGCTTCTGTAAAGCAAAGAACACAGTCAACAAAACAGATGCCTACAGACTGGGAAAAGATCTTTACCCACTCCACATCTGACAGAGGACTGATTTTCAAAATATACAAAGAACTCAAGAAACTAGACATCAAAAGACCAAAAGTTCTCTAAAAAGAGAACTTTCTCAACATAAGAATGTCAAATGGCCGAAAGACACTCAGGAAATGCTCAACATCCTTAGACATCAGGGAAATGCAAATCAAAACAACTCTTGAGATACCATCTTACACCTGTCAGAATGGCCAAGATCAAAAACTTTGATGACAGCTTATGCTGGACAGTGTAGAGAAAGTGGAACACTCCTCCACTGCTGGTGGGAATGCAAACTTGTACAGTCACTTTGGAAATCAGTATGGTGGTTTCTTAGAAAATTAGGAATGAACCGACCTCAAGACCCAGCAATACCATTTTTGGGCATATACCCAAAGGAGGCATATTCACACAAGGACATTTGCTCAACTATGTTCACAGCACATTACTCATAACAGCCAGAACCTAGAATCAACCTAGCGCTCATCAAGCAAAGAATAGATAAGGAAAATGTGGTACATTTACACAATGAAATACTACTCAGTGGTAAAAAACGAGGTCTTGAAATCTGCAGGCAAATGGACAGAACTAGAAAGAGCCATCCTAAGTGAGGTAACCCAGTTCCAGAAAGATAAATATAATATGTACTCACTCATAAGTGAATGTTAGACATAAAGCAAAAGACAACCAGCCTGCAGGCCATAACCCCAGAGAGCACAGAGGACCCTAAAAGAGACATACATGGATCCACTTAGGAAGGGGAGAGGAGAGGAGTAAAGGGGAGTGAGGGAAAGTATAGCTCAGTAAAGAAAAATGGCACACACACAAAAAAGTTATCACTCTCAGACTTGAGGCTAAGCAACTTTCATCAGATTACACATGTAGAGTCAGAGCAACTCTTGCTGGCTTGGGACTCATGTAAACCACGCTAGCTTCAAACTTGGAGTTATTCTCCTGACTGCTAAGATATATGCCACCATGCCCAGCCCCCATTCTTTGTTTGTTTGTTTGCTTTTGTTTTTTGTCTATAGCACAGGCTAGCCTCAAACTCCTTATGTAGATGAGGATGACCCTGAGCTAATCATCCTACTTCAGCCTCTATAGTATTGGAAGTGCAGGCATGTGGAATTATGTCCAACTGCATAACATCATCTTATCAACAGAAAAAAGGCAATGATGATATTATTTGGCTTTATTGTTGACTAGGAAAGCAACCCATGGATTTCCTCCAGATTAAAGCATTGTCATACTGCTGAGAGCACTTACTAAGATTGTGGTGCCTCTCACGAACTTCTCGGTGTTCTAGCATCTTGTTGGGCTCCCGATACAGGTGAGAAGTTGCAATGTCTTCTAAAGTATAGTGCTGAAGAGGTGGTGGGGTAGGGTGGAACTGGCCCCCAGGATTCATGAGGGGCACAGTGAGGGCAGGACTGTGCCGGGGAGCAGGGCTGATAGTACACACTCTCTTGGCAGGTGGTTCAGAAGGAATTGTATCTCTTTCAAAACTATTATCTTCCCTCCTGCAGAAGAAGCAAAGTGCTTATAGGAGCCTGTCAAGAAGAGCTCAGGTTAACATCCCTACCAAGTCTCAGGATAGCAGTTTCTTCCCAGCAACTCACCTCCTATGAAACCCAACCTTCAGATACTGTGCACTTTCCAAAGCAGGAAGACTTCAAAGAATTTATTTTTGGTGCTGCAGCCTACATGCTAAGCACATGCTTCATACTGGTATACTCCCAGTCCATCAGCCCTTATCTGAGTAGGTTACCCAGGCTGGTCTTCAGCCAAACCCCAGAGATCTGACTTCAGCGCCTCTGCAGTAGCTGTGACTTCTGGTGTATGTTCCTGTACCCAGCTCAGGAATGGTTTAACAAGAGGCATGAACTGAATTGTCTTCTGGAGCAGAAACAATATGTAAATGTTTGTTTATTCCAGCATGGAGAGGTCCAGTAAGCAGAACCATCTCTAATCATGACACAGAACAAGAGAAACTGAATAGGACAAGGTTTAGGAATGCTGAAAGTCAGAACTGTCATTGTAGAGGTCAGTTGCTAGAAAGAAAACTGCCTCTGTAACTTGGTAGGGGTTTTAATGACTCAGCTTCAACTGTAGTTATCTTTCTATTGTTCATAATACTGCTTCCTCAACAACTTATGTATTATTGTGGCATTATTATTAGATTATTCAGAATCACACCCTGAGACTTGTCATCGGCTAAAGGGACTGGGCAATCCTGGGAGCTGAGTCTTCATGTCTAAACTCTAGGGCAGAGCTTCTTGATGGGAATATGCAGTCAGTTACTTGAAGAGTCACTGGGACAAAGGAAAACTAATCTTGGAAAGTCTAACACATTATATGTGTATAAACCACCAACAAAACCTTCTTTCTTTTAAAGCAAAGAGCAGCTCCAGAAAAATAGGACAGATCTCTTCTCTGCTCACCTTTCAGGACTGGGCCTCTTTCCATTTCCATGAACCTCCATAAGCAGTTCAGAAGAGTCAGCAGGAGATGCGATACTGGTGTTGAGCAGAAGGTGCTCGTGCTGAGCCAAGTACTGGGATGGGGTCTGCTTGGCAGCCCGGGCACAATGCAGGAGTTCTCGCTGCAGCAGGGGCAGGTTGGCCTTGAAAAGAAAAGGCAGTTTTCCCATCTGCTGAGCCCTACCTACAGAGATTAGCATCTCAACGAGCTCTTGCAGACAAACAGCCCTCTTTGCTTTCTCCCTCTAACACTCACTAGTAAAGTGGCATCAAAGTAGTAAAGGGGCATTTTTATATAAGATACTGGTTGGTCTGTTTCTACCCCCAAGAAGATGTCAGTCTTAAAGGGACTGTGTCTTAGTTACTTCCGTGCCCTGACACAGAGCACAATAAAGGTTTGTTGAACACAGAATTTTAAAACATACATTTTTCTTTTTTTCAAGATGTCTTTTATTTTTAATTGTGTGTTTGGGTATGTAAGTGCATATGTCCTGTAGCTGGAGTTACTAGGGGTCGTGAACCACAGTACTACTGGTACTGTACATCAAACTTAGGTTCTCTACAAAAGCAACAAGCGCTCTTAACCACTGGGTTGCCTCTCCAGCCCTAAAACATACATTTTCAGCAAGGATTTTTCAGTCTGGGAAATAGGACTAACGCCAAATGGAGACATGACAAACACTCTATTACTAAACTGCATCTCCAGCACCCAAAATACACATTTTCTTGAAGACTAGCCAGTTAAGAGAATTACTACTGCCTAAAAAGGAGAATTACAAGCTCTGGTTTCTCTCTTCTGAATCACAACTTCTCTGATGGTGGCACTCAGCCTTCTCTGAGGGCTCTCTGAAGAGATTTTGGAACCCTGGAAGCCAAGATTACTCTGGAAATGCAGTTTGGAAGAAGAGTGCTGGGAATAACATAATCTGGAAAAGGAAGCTTATGTTCTGTTGTTTTTTCCTTCTCATACTAAGAAAACTTTTGGTAGATAGAAAAAACAAAACAAAACAAAACAAAACAAAACAAAACAAACGGGCAAGAGGTGGCTCAGAGATTAAGAGCACTGACTGTTCTTCCAGGTTCAATCCCCAGCACCCACATAGCAGCTAATAACTGTATGCAACTCCAAGATACCATGCTTCCACATGGAAATACATGCAAACACCAATGCACATACAATAAAAATAAACAAACAAGCCCACAAAACTTCCCCATACTTTTAAACTTCAGAATTCTAATTCTTTTTGTATGTATCAAAAAATTGTATTTTTTTCCCTTAAACTTAAACATAACTCAGGGAGGCACCTATAATGAATGCCTTCACCTCAAGGGACAAATGAGTAAAAGAAAAGTTTTAATGCATGCAAGTAGTCACCCCCTCACTGAGGGTTAATTTAGCAGGCACCATAATTAGTAGCTGTTTTAAAGCAGAAATAAATTGACAAAACCTCAAATGCTAGCCAAAAAGCTGTTGTAACAACCTACCTCATGCTGTTTCCAAATAACACAGTTTAAGAATAGAGAATCTGACAATATGAAATACTTAAGTGTGGTCTAGATTCTAAATCTTACAGCTGCAAAAATTTAATCAAATCTTTATATTTGTGACATGTGTCCTTTGGTGGCATACAGGAAAAACATAGTTAATTATGTTCTGTTAACACAAACTTCATGAATTGTTTTTTAATTCTAGAGTCTCAGTGAACAGTTGTCTATAAATTCAGATATAAAGAAAAGATAAATGGGGTGGTGGTGGGGGGCACACCTTTAATCCCAACACTCAAGAGACAGAGGCAGGTGAATCTCTGAATTGAAGGCCTGCCTGGTCTACAAAGTGAGTTCTAGGACATTCAGGGCTACACAGAGAAACCCGTGTAATACAAACAAACAAACAAATACACACACACACACAAAAAGAAAAAAAAAAAAAAAAAAGGAAGGAAGGGAGGGAGGGAGGAAAGAAGGAAGGAAGGAAGAAAAAGAAGAGACAAGAAAGACAACCAGGGTCCAAGCAGCACAGCTGCTCCAGGGCTCACAAAGGTCATAGCATACTTTCAGCCACCAAGGTTTCCATGTTCTCAAGAGCAGAGTCTAGTATAGGCCTATACACCTCAGATCAGACCATCTTCTTGGCTGTCCTGTTATGCTACAGTCCAAAATTGTTCTAAGAACAGGAAAAATATACTACACCTCTAGTTCTAGCACTTGGGAGGCCAGCCAGGGCTAAATAATGAACAAAACCAAAATAAACTAACATCAGTATTTTGGAAAGGGATACATAGCTTTGATGATTTAACATTTTCTTGGGGCTGGATGGCTCAGTAGATAAAGGCACTTGCTGCCAAGCCTGATGATCTGAGTTTGATCCTAGGGATCCATATGGCAGAAGGTAAGAATCAATTCCTGCAAGTTATCCTCTGATCTCCATATATGTGCTATAATAGCCCCTCAAATCAAACCAAACTAAAACAGAACATTTTCTGAGAAAATGAAAGTTAAGTTTAAGGACAGCAAAAGGAGGCTTATTTGTTTGACCAAAATAATAATCAGAATTTGTTAGCTAAGAAACAGAATTAATTCTAAGGATTTTCCTTATAGGTAGAAAAATTAAAATCCAAAATATGTTAATTGAACATAGTATGGTTTTTTCCCCCCCTCAGGGAGAAGGGGGTAATATTTAGTTTAATTGAATTTCAAGTGGGTATCAATTGCAAATGTCTATCTGTATACAGCATTCTTAGTGTTACAAAACCACATGGTGTGCTAGATTTGTTCATACTAGTTGACAATAAAACTCTAATCTTTTATTTCTTTTGAACTATTCCTTGTGTAACTTAAAAATAGCTGATAGAAGTAAAACAACTTACATTTCACATGAATTGTTTCTGGAAAGCGCCACTTTAGAATGAGTCCTGTGTTTATACCATCACTGTCCATAACTATGATCTATGGAGCTAGAGAGATGGCTCCACAGCTAGAGGTATTCGCTGTTATTACAGAGGACTGGGGTCAGACTGTCAAAAATGCCTGAAATTCCAGCTCCACAACACATAACCCTGCTTCTGGTACATGGACAGTAGTGTACACTCCCTCCCCCACCCCCACCATTAAAAATATTTTTACAAGTACTAATTGTGACCTATGAATGTTATCTATTAGGCAATAATGACTGTAAGGTCTCTCAGATGCATTCATCAACTCAATAAAATAAAATATCTGATACATGTTACCTATTAGGGAAAAATAATTTGGTGTTTTGTTTTTGAAGACAGGTTTCTCTGTGTAGCCCTGGTTATCCGGGAACTTACTCTGTAAACCAGGGTGGCCTTGAACTCAAAAGATTCACCTGCCTCTCTGCCTCCAGAGTGCTGGAATTAAAGGCATGTACCAACAGTGCCCAGCAGGGAAAGGGAAAGTAATCTTTAGTGGTAATTGTTTTAAATTTGCAGTGCTACTTACTCAAGGCCTTGTGTATGACAGGTAGGTCCTCTATTCCAAGACCTGGTAGTAATTTTCTTTTTTTTTTTTTTTTGAGAAAGGATTTCTGTAGCCCAGGCTGATCTACAATTATTTATGATTCTCCTGTCTCGAGTCTCCCAAGTACTAGTACTGTACACCATGTGGAAAAACAATCATTTAATCAGAGAAAATATTAACTTTATAGAAAAAAGTCATGGCAGAAAGTCAGCTTTGCTAAATTGTTAAGGAGGGGAAAAAAGGCATTATCAACGATGGAACCAATCACTGCCTCTGTCCTGTGCCACCATGCAGTGATACTGCAATTTTTTTGGTAGTGATAATTATTTGTACGGATATATTGTCTTTTTGGTTTTGCTAGATGATCTTGCTATATACCATTAGTTAGACAGGAATTTGCTACATAGATCAGGTTGACCTTGAACTAGGGGCAGTATTCCTGCCCCTGCCTCTTGGATGCTGGGGTTACAGGCAAGCATCACCATACACTAAACTACCTGTGATTCTTAACTAAAATATATCAAGTGACTTTAAGCTTCAAGGAAATAAAGTTCCAGAACAAAGCAAGCTGAGCTTCTTTACAACCAGCGTCCTTTAAATCACGACACTCTTGTGGCTGGAAAGATGGCTCACATTTGAAGAACATTGTTCTTGACGAGGACTCCAAGAGATCCAACCCCTTTTTCTGGCCTCCACAGGCACTCAACAGTCACATGTACATATACACACAGACACTCATACAAACTATTAAAAATGAAATTATTCAAAGCCGTAACACTTATTAAAAGTTAAGAAATTGCTACAAATTAATACTACATGCCATGAGGAACCATGACTAAATATAGTCCTGCGCCCCACAGTCAACAAAAAACTTGGTTCTTCACTAGGGAAGCAAAGACATAGTGGCGCACACCTTTAATTTCAGCACTCAGGAGGCAGAGGAAGATGGATCTCTGTGAGTTCAAGGCCAGCCTGGTCTACAGAGTGAGTTCCAGGACAGCCAGTGATAACACGGTGAAATCCTGTTCTGAAAAAAAAAAAAAAAAAAAAAAACTTTCATAATGCACCTCTCTGTTTCTGAGATGGCAGAAAGCAGCATTCAGTACCAAGTATTTCACACAAAAGCTCTACTCTCTCAAGGGCATCAAGAACAGGAACTACCTATCATGACAGGACTGGTGCTCTGGGCAGACAAGAATCTCAATTTGTGTGTTTTGGTGCCACGTCACATTGTTCCTTATGATCCTTATCAGTGACCACTTGCCCCTCAAGCCCTTTTCAGAAAAAGCAAGAGCAAAGGCACAGAGACTCAGCCCCTGGGATGCACCAAGAAGGAATTTCCACAGAGGGAGCTCTCCAGGGCCTCCCCCATACCTATCTCAGTTGTGAGAGAAGGCCAATAGGCAAGAGGAAAAGAAACAGCCCTCAAATAGCATCTGCAGCAGAAATTGAACCATGTAACAAGCTCTTTTTCTCCTAGCATCTATCTAGCCTAGATTTTCTGTCCTCTGTTGTAATTAGGTGATACCATGTGACTGCGTCCTGGACAATGAGGAGATAGAGACACAGAGTCATAGACAGACAGGCACAGATGCCAATCCCAGGACCAGCTCCTTCAAAACCTCTCTAGCTTTCTCCCTCTTTCTCACCTCTTAGCCTTCAGTTAACTGAATCTGTGCTCAAATCATCTAGTAAGTCAAAGGTTGAAAATTTTGGAATTGTCCTTGGTCTTGAATGATTATGGAAAGAAGGCTCTCACTCCCAACTCCCTTTACTAGACTATTCTGTGTGACTGAGGAATACATCAATTTATTAAGCCACACATACACATAAAGGCTTCATTTTGTGTAAAGAGCATTAGTAACTACTACAACATAAATACGGTCTGCACATTAGATACCAAGTGTTGTGTGAATGTTAACATCTTGACTCAAGGGCTCTGGACACAACTACTTGAGAGAGCACTTGTTTGGTATACCTGAAGCCCAAAGTGGGATCCTTAGTAGCAATATAAAAGAAAATTCTAGATTTGGAAATTTAAATGTAGCACATCTATAGCTGCTGCTTCTTCTTCTTCTTTTTTTTTTTTTTAACTTTCAGAAGAAAGATAGGAAATGATTTTGAAGTGCTACTGTTTGAAAAACTGGTTTGAAACCATAAAGAAAGTTTACTGTACCCTGTCACTGCTCATCTGTGAGCATGAAATTACTTCAAAATGAAAACACTTTTAAGAAAATAAGATGGTAACGTAGAGACAGGAGAGAAGTCCTAGTCCCTACTCCAAATGGCTTGACAGATTTAGATGACGCCTCCTGGAGGGCATCGCCCTACATGTGGAGTGGGGGAGGGTGGTCGGGGAGGGTGGTCGGGGAGGGTGGTGGGGGAGGGTGGTGGGGGAGGGTGGTCGGGGAGGGTGGGGGAGGGTGGGGGAGCGTGGTGGGGGAGGGTGGTGGGGGAGGGTGGTGGAGCGTGGTCGGGGAGGGTGGTCGGGGTACATGTGAGGGTGGGAGAGAGGGAAAGAAGTAGGGAGAGGGAGCTGGGATGGATATGTAAAATAAAAATAAAAAATAAATTAATATTAAAAAAAAGAAAATAAGATGATAACTTAGAACCATATACCCAAAAGGTATTCCAGGAAACAATAATTCTAGAGGGCGTTAATTAGACTATATTATCTGGGGTTTGAGGGAAAACAACCACTGCCTTCTCACACCCTCTTGACACAACTGCATAAGCCTCTCTTTGTAAAGGTTCTCCTCTCAGATAGCACAGACGTCTCATCTTCAGACCACACTCACAAGGTTTAGTGGTATTTCCTCATTTTCTTCTTTATTAATTCCTTCACTTGCTCCAGTATGCTGAGTACAGTGTTTGCAAACAGAAATCACTCAAAACACTGCAATTCTCATCATGTTTGAGGCTGATGTACATGCTGTTTACTGACCAGCCCCAAATGCAACAAAGACAGTGAACTGCAGTAAGTGGCCCTGAGATCACAGAGCGGGGGGGGGGGGGTCAGCAGACTGAGGACATGCTGATGATAAGCTAAATGCCTCTTAGAATTACCTTGAGAAATGGAATCACAAATGGACGAAGAGGAAAGTTTGTTGCCTCTTGGAGCTTGCAATGGAATTCTTCAATTGTCACTGTTGAATTCTGAAACAACAAATAATGTTCAACATCCAAAACTGGGCACAGCAGCAAAGACTAAAGGAATGGTCTAAAATTCCTCTATGGATGGACAAAGTGATAATACAGATTTGTAGCAGAGAATAAATGACTCATATGCCACAGGAACAGACTCAAGGCCGCATGTTTGGACAAAATAGAGCAGACTGGATCTCAGAGGAATGAGCTGTCATACCAGACTGTCTTCAGTCAACTGTTAAATCACAAAGAGCTTAACTATTTAATTTTTGTTTAGTTTAGTTCCCCCCCCCCCAAAGAATGCACAGTCCAGCAGGAAAACAGACTACAATTTTTTTTTTTTTGGTTTGTTTTGTTAAGATGGCTCAATGGGAAAAGTGCTTACTACCAAAGCAGAGTTTCATCCCCTGCAGTTGTACTCTGACTTCTATGCATTTACAGTGTACAAGTATACACACACACTCACATTAGATAGACGTAATTCTTTTATCTGCTTGTTTTCATTTTTGAGACAGGGCCTCACTATGTAGCCTTGCCTGGCTTCAACTCAAGAGATCCTCCTGACTCTGCCTCCAGAGCACAAAGATTCAAGGCTTGCATTAGTACATCTGGTTCTGCATGTCTTTTTTTTTTTTTTTTTTTTTTTTTTTTTTTTTTTTTATTAAAGCTCAGAAATGGTTATTTTTGGGAGAGAGAAAATTCAAAGGGTAGGATGTTAGTAGGTTTCGTTTCAAGAGAACATCTACAATGGACTTAGAAGATAAGGTACAAGGATAGAGATAGTCCTCCACACTTTGTTGGGAACAGGCTCTTTCTATGGCACTGAAGCTGACCTAGAACAGTTTACTGAGTGCTGGAATTATAGACATACAAACCTATGCATAGCTTTACAATTTTTTGAGATAAATTAGTCTAACAAAGTTGTAAAGCCAAATTAGAGGGGATGGAGAGATGGCTAAGCAGTTAAGCACACTGATTTGATTCCCAACACCCACATAGTGGTTCAGAACCGGCTCTAATTCCAGTCTAAGGAGATCTAATGCCCTCCTCTGGACTCTGAAGGTACCAGACTCAAATGTGGAACACAGACCTACAAGGAGGCAAAGCAGTCATTCACATAAAATTATAACTTTTTTTAAACTTTAAAAAAAAAAAAAAAAAACTTAGGAAGGTTACATGTAATGGGCTATTTCTCTAATCTTTACTGTTAACATCTCATGAAACACACACTGATACAGTATAAACTAAAAAAGATTTATTGTTCTTTAATGTGTATGAATTTTGAATACATGTATGTACATGTAACATGTGAATGTTTGGTGCCTGTTTGTTTGAGGCCAGAAGAGGGCACCAGAACCCTGGAACATACCCATACCCATGCTTACACCAAATAAAAATTAAAATAGAATATATATAAAAAGAAAAGGAAAAAAAGACCATGCTTTCATGAAAGTGTAGACTACTAGCTGATCTGAGAATATGGATAGCAAAACTTGTAAAATGATAAAACTTTCCCTAACTAAAAAGGTAGAAGCAACAACCTTTGTTCCTCATACAGGACAAATGGGTAAGCAAAATAAACACAAAGATAACAGAATATGCCTTATCCTTTGGAAAAACATTTCTTTTCTGGCTGGAGTGGTGCCTTTAATCCCAGAACTCAGAGGCAGGGGATCTCTGTGAGTTCAAGGCCAGCCTGGTCTACAAATTGAGTTCAGGACAACTAGGAATGTTACACAGAAAAACCTTGATTCAAAAACAAAAACAAAACAATCATATGTGTTACATCATTGTTGAACCATGAATAAAGGTTTGGAGAATAGCTCTGCCAGCAAAGTGCGTAGCATACATGAAGACCTGAATATGACCCATATATACTACATGGGCTGAACATGGTGGCACATGATCATAATTCCAGTACTGGAAAAAGGTAGAGGCAGGAAAATAAGTAGTTAAAAAAGTCATCTTCAGTGGGGCAGTGGTGGCCTTTAATCCCAGCACTCGGGAGGCAGAATCAGGCAGATCTCAGTGAGTTTAAGGTCAGCCTGGTCTACAGAGTGAGTTCTAAGACAGCAAGGACTGTTACACAGAGAAACCCTATCTTGAAAAAAAAAGCATCTTCAGCTGCACAGTGAAATTTGGCTGGGGCTACATGAAACATAATCTAGAAAAACCAAATAGATAGAAATAATTCTGACGGTGAATGGTGGTGGTGATAATGGTGACAGTGATGGCACAACAATGGCAATGTACTGTACTATAACCCTGAAAGTGATAAAAACAGGCTATCACAACCACTAAGCTCCACAGACATAGCACCAGAGCAAGTGAGAGCTGGAAAGGCTCTGGCTGAGGAAAACAAACTAAACACAAGCAAGAGATCCTGAGGATACAACAAACTCTTCTGGTTCTTTGAGCACTACACACTGTGAAGCACAAAAACACAAATGCAGGTGAAACACCCACACATACAAAATAAAAATAAATAGATCTTGGAGCTGAAGAGATGGCTCAATGTTATGAGTACTGGCTCTTCCAGAGGACCTGAATTCAATCCTTAGCATATGGCAGCTTACAATGATCTGTAACTGCAGTTCCAAGGGACCCAACCCACGTGATTTCTGGCATCCTCTGAGATGTATGGTGTGCATATGTGTGTGTGTGTGTGTGTGTGTGTGTGTGTATAAGCAAAACACTCATACAACAAAATATAAACTTAAAAAGCTAACTTAGTCTCCATTTAATAATACTAACTATTCTAACATAGTTTAAATTTTGACTAATAAGTAGATTTGCTCTAAACAAATGCACACACACACCAAAAAAAAAAAAAAAAAAAACCTCACACTTTCTCCAAGTAACAGAAAGGGCTCATTGTTACTGTTTCTGGATTCCATAAGAGGAGCTAGACATAGATGGTCAACAAGACCCAGCCACAATCAGTCTTTACATGGTTCTTTGGGCAGAAGCACTACATACATTTTCTTTGTTTTGGGGAGAGTGTGTACTGTGTAATCATGAAATGGGGAGAATATTAAGGAGGCCAGGACACAGATTCTTCTAGACTCTGCCCATGTAGATCTCCTTTACAATCTGTCTATGTATTTTTATTACTTCTCTGGAATGAATGTTAGCTGTGAGTACCACCATATGTCAAATCTGGAAAAGGTAACCAATCTACAATCACAGGGCAGTATTAGGGATTCCTGACACACTGCCCCAAATGCAAACAATTCAAATGTTATCAAAAGCAAAAATGTATACATTGTGGTATAATAAAGCAGTACAACAAAATAATGGTAGCTCATGCCTAAAATCTTCGCATTAAGGAGGTAGAGGCAGATGATCAAGTGTTCAAGGTCCTAAACTACACAGAGTTCAAGACCAGTGCCCTACAGGAGACCCTGTTAGTTTTTTGTTAGAGACAGTATTTTATACACTGACTTGCTAGACTGAAACCATGTAAAAATCAGGATAATTTTGAACCTCTGGTCTTTCTATGCAGATATCCAGAATACCAGGGCTGTGGATACTAGACAAGTACTCTACCAACTATGTTCCATGCCCTACCCTCCAGTATACTGGAGAACCCCAGGGGTTTCCCTAAATTATATTTTGAGAGAAAATGCAACTGTAAGGAACAGAACAATAACTCAGTTTTTCATCATAAACAGAAATTAACATGTGGGAAAAGAACACAATGCTTTCACCAGGAATGAATTTTACAGTATTTCATCTGGAAACACTGACAACTGGCAGTATTTCCCTCATAAATTGAGAAGACTCAGTCTCACCCAGATAGCAATATAGAAAGTTAATCCTTTATAAGCAGGCCCAGTATGATTAGTATAGAAAGAAAAACTAAAACTATACACAAGGAGCTGAATAACATACCTGTAAAGAAACTATTAGACCATCAAACTTCTAATTTTACAAAATATTGTTTAGAAAATTAAAACTGGTTTGTAAATAATGCACCAGCTACTGAAATGTTGACAAACAGCCTTCTATTTACGTGGCTGAACTTCAGCAGGCCTGCTGAAAGTTGTTTAAGACAAATCCAAAGCTGCTTACCAGAATTAAATCCACACCTTAGATAATAAGACTCTTATAGATTCTTTGGTAAATAAATACTGCTATGAAATCTGTAATTCGACAGTTTTGAAAAAATTGAAACAACTAATGTAGTCCATAGTATCTACATGCTTTGAGAATGAGCAGGACTGTCATAACTTCTTAGGCAGCTGGTAAAGGTGAAGACATACTCACCACCAGTGCTAGAACAAGAGTCCGAACCTTCTCTCCAATCTCAGGTGAGATGTCATTGCCAAACTGTTGCAGAGTAGTGAGAAAGCGTTTCAATTTGCTGAGCTGCCGAGCACCACAAGTAGCTGGCAACTGTTGATTTGTTAGTGCCGATGATGTGGAAGACGCAGGACCATTGCTGAATCTCTGTGGTGGTGACGGGGCACCATTCAGGGTAGGAGGGGAATGGTTGATGCCGTTGCTTACTAAAAGAAAGCCAGAATAAGAAGACTCAATTCAAGTACAGAACATAAGAGCCTTTTACTGACTTATGTATAGTCTTTCACTACTCTTGAATTCTGTAAAACATTTTAGTGTGTGTATGTGTATATATGTACACACATATATGTGTATGTATACACACACACACTCATTTCTACCCTCAATGAGATTGCTGTGTACCAGCTTGGCAGTGGTGGTCTTTAATCCCAGCACTTGGGAGGCAGAGGCAGGCGGATCTTTGTAAGTTGGAGGCCAACCTGATCTACAGAAAGAATAAGTTCCAGGCCAGGCTCAAGTTACACAGAGAAACCCTATCTCAAAAAACAAAAATAAATAAATAATAAAGAGATTGTTGCATACCAAGACAAACTGTCAGGGAAAAATGACAACAGAATATTGTACAAGTGTTAAAATCTAAGTATGGTGATACGTGTTTTTGTTGTAGTTATGGCTACTCAGGGGGCTGCAATGGAAAGATCATATATCCAGGAATAGGAGGCTGTCCTTAGTAACATAGTGACATTCCATTTAAAGCAGGCAAGCAAGCAAAGAGAAGGAACATGGGAAGGATAACTAACATTAAAGCCATTTTGAAAAGGTCACAGAAACTATTTTAGAGGTCTCTCTCTCTCTCTCTCTCTCTCTCTCTCTCTCTCTCTCTCTCATGGAGATGATCAATGATGGAGGAACAAGACCCCAACTACACAGCCGACACTACCAAAGAAAACTACTGGATAACCTCTTTTTGAGCTGTTGGACAATGAAGTTCCAGAGACCACCCCAACCCCAAACATTAAAGGGTTTACCAATGCTATTCGTTACTCTCCAGAACTTGTCTGTAAGATTCTACTCTTGGAGGCACCAATCAAAAGTCATCAAACATGGAAAAACCTAGCTTATACTTAACTAGAAGTGTCATCCCTACTGGCCAGTGTTCAGGGTGCTAAAAAGTGCTATTCATGCTACTGGAAGAAAAAAATAATTCATCCATCTTGAACCCAGCTACGAACTCTGTGAGCTACAATAAATAACTGCTTGGCATAAATATTACAGGAGTAACCAAACACTTTTTGAATGGACTTTTAAGCCTGCTCCATAAGACAGAACCTGTATCTGATATTGTCAATGAGGCCAAGAACCTGTGGCTAGATAGGTCATGAGACCTAAGAGAAAAACCTACTGTTATTTGTTAAATGGACATAACAATAAAATTACTTCTGTTGAGTTATTTCTATACGCATAAATAATAGATCACTGAACATTCATCAGAGAAGCTTCTTTATGTAGCCAATGGCCACAGAAACCCAACGCTGATCAACATGCAGAGAAAAAGACTTCAGAATACTCAACCCTAAACAGGATGTCTATTATTATACTCCTCCCCTCATGACTTAGGGATCTATGAGAAAGACTATAAAATCCAGAGGTGGTGAATGTCTTCACGTATAGTAAGGTACATGCACATACTGACTTACAGAGATTATTAATACAAACCCAAGTTCAAGCCAGATAAATTTTCAGCATATAAGAGAGGAGAGATGGGCACATAAGCCCCACTCCCAGTAGCCACTGGCATTCGATTCTTTGTATATGTGTCCATGTGTGAGGGGGTTATTGTTGTTGTTCGGTGTTTTGGTTGTTTTCCAGACAGGGTTTCTCTGTGTAACAGCAGTCATAGCTGTCTTGGAACTCAATTTGTAGACAAGGCTGGCCTAGAACTCATAGAGATCCCCTGCCTCTGTCTCACGATTGCTGGGACTTAAAGGCATGTGCCCCCATGCCCGGCAACATGATTCTTGCTGGGAGAAGTAGAGTTAGTTTTCCACTAATGTACTGATACCTCCAGGGCAGGTCCCACATCCAGAAGTAGTCTGTCAGTCAACACAAACTAGACTGAAAGAGGGAAAGGAAAGAGGAGAACAATGTGAAAACAAGAGAGAAAGACAGAGATTGGGGGGGGGGGGGGTAAAGTTGAATACCTGGGGGTAAATCTGAGAGGAATTGGGGAGGGGGTTGGATATGATCAAATATATTACAGGAAATTCTTAAGTACTAAATAAAAATATTATTCACAAAGCAAACTGGCAGACACAACACACACAATCAATGTGGAGTACTATGAATAGGAAAAGGTGAGCTCCACTAATGCTCACATGTAATCCCAGCACTTGGGTGAAGGAGGATATTAGAGAACACCTGGCTACTGTGAGTCCCTTCTGCAAAACAAACAAAAACAACAACAAAAAGTATAGACACCACGGTGCTAAAGGTGAGTTGGAGACTAACTGAAACTCATTATTTTTACCTTTTTTCCCCCTTAAGATCTAATGTAAGTGTATGAATGCCTTGCCTGCATGTATGTCTGTGTATCGCATGTGATGGATTGGATCTCTTGGAACTGGAGTTAACTAACAGACAGCTGTTAGCTGCCTGTGAGTGCTGGGAAACTCCAGTCCTCTGCAAGACCAAAAGTGCTCTTAACTCCTGAGTCATCTCCCTCAGAGGCCCCTCTTTTCTTTTCTTTTCTTTTCTTTTCTTTTCTCTTCCTTCCTTTCTTACCTCCCTCCCTCCCTCTCATTTTAGACAGGGTCTTGCACAGTAGCTTTAAACTTGCTAAGATGCTCCTGCATTGGCCTCCAGAATAGTATTATTATAGGTATGAGACACCACAACAAGCTTTATGTTCATTTTACAAATTTCCTTCTTAAAGAAGCCAAGCAATCAGTCACAAGTTAGCATGTGAGAGATAACAGAGAAACAGAATTATACTAATGCCAAAGATATTTCCAGGTTCTATCTTTACTACCTAATCTGCATCAAAATGTCTCTCTTTGACCATTCAAAATACTAATGTCCTTTAGAGTAGCTTTCCCCTTGTCTTGACACAGATTGATAAATAATGCAAAAGTCTTGGTCATTCAGAAAAATGCCTTCTAAAACCAGAGTGCTCTTAGCTATTCTAGAGGTTAAGGCAGAAGAATCACTTGGGTTCAAGAGGTTGAAACCAGCACATCAAGACCCCATATACCCAAAAGAAGAAAAGGGGAAAGGGCACTATTTAAACTCCATAAAGGGTATCCCTTTCTCTGTTTTTGGTCAAATTATGATAAGCAACTAATCTGTATTCCCATTTTTCTTGCTTTCATCAGTAGTTATTTCTTGGTAGTTTTAATGTAGGAAACCTCAGGACTAAATTTATTATATATTTTCTTTCTTTCTTTTTTTTTTTTTGAGACAGGATTAAATATTGTTTCTAAAGCTACATTCTCAGTGGCATTAAGGAAAAATTTCTCCTGTGGGAAATGGAGAGGTGTCTCAGGGGTTAAAAGCCCTGGCCGCTCTTCCAGAGGACCCAGCTTTGGTAACCAGCACACACCTGGCTGCTTACTACTACTGTATTTAACTCCAGTTGCAGGGCATGCCCTCTTCCTGCCCCTGAGGGCATGCAAATGGTGTACAAACATTCACTCTGGCAAAACACCTATACACATAAAAATAATTTTTATAAAAATCTCCTCTGTAACTGAACAGTAAAACAAGATTACCTAGCAACTAATCATATCAATGCTTAAAAGTCTAATCAAGTTAAGGGCCAGCATGGTGGCACACATCTGTGAGTAGATGCCAGGCTAGTCTACATAGTGAATTCTGTGACAGTTAGGGATACAAAGTGAGACCCTGCCCAGAGAGGAGGGGAGGGGGAAAGAAGAGACTGTTAACCAAATATATATATGGCGGATGTAGTGGACTCACACCAGTGATGCCTGCAGCACTCTGGAGACAAGTTATGAGGGTTCTAGCTTGGAAACCAGTTCGAGCTACAGAGTGAGACCCCCATCTTAGAAAAACAAAGTGGGGCATGGGAGTCCATTACTATGATCTCACCGGCACTTGGAAAGTGAGGCAGAAATCTCAAGAGTTCAAGATCATGCTGGGTTGTAAAGAGTTCAAGACGAGTCTGAGCTACATGAGACCACACACCAAAACAAACAAAATTCAAGCAAGCAAACAAGGAAGTACAGAAAATAATTAATCTAAGTCAAGTCATTAGCTGTTTTAAAATGTCAATCCTTTAACCTCTTCGCTAATAAAAACCACCATTCATGAGTATGAAGACCTGCACACACTTGGTTATACTTCCCTTCTCCTAAAATAGTCACAGTCACTTCTCCATCTCTACTTCTTCTTCCTGGACAGACAGTATTCAGACCTAAACCAGCAAACTTTTCTGTATCTTATATAGCTCAGCTATCACTTGAAGTTAAGAACTTTTTTTTGGTACAGGGTAGTGCTGGGTGTAGTGGTGTATGCCTTTAATCCCAACACTTGGAGGCAGAGGACGTAGATCTCTGGTCTACAGAGTGAGTTCCAGAAATGTGCACACACACATGACCACTACTTTACTTCTTTGTACATATGCAATTAGTTGACAGACTGGTCTTCTTTCTGTTTGGTTTTTGCTTCATGAGACAGACCTTGAACTAGAGTTCTTTCTGCCTCAGCCTTCTACTTCCCTTTTCCCTCAAACATTTCAAGTGCATGTCACCACACCAGGTAAGAATGTCTGAAGAATATTGCCTTAACATATGCACATGTATATACATTACTAGATTTTTGTAAACCATCAATACATTTATTTCATGTGCGAATGTCATAGTGAATGTGGAGGTCAGAGGACAACTTGCAGGAATTGGTTCTTTCCTCCAACAACATGGGTCCTGGGGAGCAAACTCAGGTTGTCAGTCTTGTTAACAGGCACCTTCACTTGCTTTGTTCATCATCCCCTAACAAGCGGTAGGTTTTCAGGAAAATGGTGTTGAATTCATAAAAAACTAATGGGCTGAGGAAAAAAGGAGGGTAATTCTATCTTCCAGTCAAAGAGATTACCAAAACTCCCAGAAAAGATAGTTCCACACTTTAACTTCGCCAATCTAGAAAATTTATTGCAATCATCTTTCATTTCTTTGTTTCCATAGGAAGATCGATCCTAATCAGAGCTGCCCTCTTAGAAGCACCCCACAAAAAACAGAACATTACTATGCTTGTAGCCACCTGACAATATAGACAAACTTTTCACAGCCTTTTAAATTAAATTGTATAATCTATTTTCACATTCTTCAAATTATAATGTATCCAGCTACATAGTGAGTGAGACTCTGTCACAAATAAATAAAAATCATGCCAATCTTTATTTGGAAGTCATATTGAAATAGGCCCCTCCCTCACAAAATAGCTCAGTTGGACTAGAACTCACTATGTAGACCAGACTGGCCTCAAAAATCATTGAGAGCCACTTGTTTATGTCTCCCACGCGCCAGGATTAAAGGCATGTGTCACTCCAAGGAGTGGCCTAGAGCTCTTGATTCTCTTGAGTCCTGGGATTACAGGCTGAAGATTATAGGAATGCATCACTATACTCTTATTTATATTTTAGTCATGTTGAATAATGTATATTGAAGTTTTAATATAAGCCAGTTACTCAGATCTACATTATAACTCTGAATCATGAATCCAATTTAATTAAGAGATCTCACATGCTGTAGGAGTAAAGGACACTGGCCTCGGTCCTCCAGGGTTTATTGGTGGGAGGGGCGGCATGATGGGAGGTGAGGATCTTGACTGTGTCTTCACTTCCACAGGCGATCCAGGCATTGCTGGCACCCTTTTCTCACAACCAACTGCAAAAAAATAAAAAAATAAAAAAAGGGGGGGAGGTCAAAGCTCTCTATAAATAATAAATAGCAACAGCAATTGGAAATGAACCTGTCCTCTAGGACTCAGAAGTTAAGATGAGATGATACTTACAACAAAGGGTAAAAATATTAACTGCCTGGAGATGCCCTAACAACTAGCTCTGCAAATAATACCTTATTTGGGGAACGGACCTTTAAAAAAAAAAAATCTAATAACATATTTATTTATTTGGGGAGAGAGAAAGAGGAAGAAAGGAGGGAGAGAGAAAGGGGAAGAAAGGAGGGAGGAAGGAGGGAGGGGGAGAGGGAGAGGGAGAGGGAGAGGGAGAGGGAGAGGGAGAGGGAGAGGGAGAGGGAGAGGGAGGGAGAGAGAGAGAGAGAGAGAGAGAGAGAGAGAGAGAGAGAGAGAGAGAGAGAGCGAGAGCTGGCACACACATGCACCATGATGTGTGTGTGGCAGTCAGAAGACAACTTGCCAGAGTCAGTTCTCTCCTACCATGTGGGTCCAAGTAATCAAATTCAGGTTTTCAGCCTTGGCAGTAAACCCTGCAGGCCTTGGAAAGGACCTTTTAAGATTGGGCAAAGTGAGGTTGTAGAGATAGCACCAGTTAAGAGCACTGACTGCTCTTCCAGAGGACCTGGGTTCAGTTCCCGGTATTCACATGGCAGCTCACAACTATCTGTAACTCCAGTTCCAGAGGATCTGACAACCCCACAGACATAATTGCAAGCAAAACACCAATGCATGTGGGGGGGGGGGGAGTAAGGTGGAGGGGCACTGGAAGAACAACTCAGAGGTTAAAGAGGACAGAGGTTCAGTTCCTAGCTCACAACCAGCTCTAACACCAGTTCCAAGCAATCTCATAGCCTCTTTTGGCCTCTCATACATAGAGGCAAAACACACATACACACAAGAAAAATCTAAAAAGTAAAACCTGGCACAGTGGCACATGCCTGTAATCCTAGCACCAGGGTGGGAGAAACAGGAAGATCAGAAGCTCAAACCAGACTCTAGCTATAAAACATTCTGGATTAAAACTTTGACTCAAAAAAACATTTAAAATAAGCTATTTCTCACAAAAGAGAACCTATTAATATACCTGGCTAACAGACTTATCTTTAAATTGAACTATATATATATGCTTCTCACTAATTTCCTGTTTGTTTGTTTTTAACTTAAATACTGTAGTAGCAATTGATTTTGATTTCAAGTGCAAAGACCACAGAAAAGGTTTAAATGAGAAGGTAAAATCGAAGCTTTCTTGTAGGATCAGCTATAAAGATGGCATATTCCAGCATATTCATATAAACCACAAGGCATATCTTAGCATATTCACCACACTTTCTGATGGGGAAGATGTCCCTAGATACTATTTTATGTTCCAGTTTGCAATGGCTCTATTTCAGAGAGGGATATATGAATAAAAAGTATTAAGGAAGCCAAGCACCAGTGTTCGAAACCTCTAACAAAACCTACAGTATTCTGTGAATCATGAGGCCAAAATTTCACACTCTTGTTGTCCCTGGTCAGGATGCTTTGTGAAAATGATGGTAGTCCTATCTGATTAGTGGGCTAATGAGCTGTTGCGCTTGCCTTTCTCTTCCTGCCAGTGTTTTCTCAATGCCCTTCAGAGAACAGTTGACACATTTCCAGCTCTTCCATCTGGGGCCCAGCTTTCTGGAGGGAGTAGGAATAGAGGAAGGAACTGACAGTTGTCTCGCACTGTTATGTATCGTGTGCATCAACCTAGAGGGCATCTTTCTCAGACCACCTGTCTTTACAGCAAGGGTGCCAAAGGCTAGAGGGGGGGCTTAGCAGTCAAATAGATACATTTTAACATTCAGCACATGGCCAGGGTAACAAAGATGCCTCAGCCCAACTCCAAAACACTGAGCTCCATGCTTCACCTCCGGAAAACTTAGCTAGTGGATAAAATCTGCCTCAAGAACACAGTTTACAGGCCACATTACTCACTTCTTGTTTACTCCACTGCCCACAAACCAGCACCATTACTGTTATTCCTAGTTTCAAACAGCAATAAAGATATGCAGAGTAAAAGGGCTGGTTTGATGCATTTTTCTGTTACTCATGACCTACATAAAATTTAGCAAATAATTTCACCTTTCGAGGCCTTCCTTGTTTTTCAACACAAGTAAGTAAATAAGTGACAATAAAAACCACCCACAGAAGGAAAGCTATGAAAATCAAAGACAGGAGCTAGAGGGATGGCTCAGAGGTTAAAAGCACAGCTGTTTTTCCAGAGGAAGTGGGTTTGAATTCCCAGCACCCACATGCTGACTTACAACTTCCTTTAACTCCCGTTCCAGGAAATCCAATACACTCTTCTGGCCTCCACAGGCACCAAGCACACATGTGGTACACAAACATACACACAAGCAACACCTATATACATACAGTAAAACATAGGGGCTGAAAAGCTGGCTCTGCAGTTAAGAGCACAGCACTTGTTGCTTTTGCAGAGGACCAGGGCTTGGTTTCAGCACCAACTTGATGATAGATAGCATCCTCTGAACTTCCAGAGGATCTGACACCCTCTTCTGAACTCTATGGACACCAGGCATGCAATGCACACACATACATGCAAGCAAAAATAATACACATTAAAATAATAAATTACTCCACATAAAATAATAAATTACCCAAGAAATACATGGGGAGGAGGGAGGGAGGGAAAAGGAAGGAAATATAAAAAAAAAAGAAAGAGATCATTGTTTTTGATGGGGAAATGAGACTGTGATTCAAGATAGCTATGTGTGAGTTTTCATGTTGTGACAGCAATTCCTTAAAAAGCAGTAACAATAGGAATGGAATGAGAAAGTAGATTTAAAAGACACTTAAAATGCAGAGAATTTGGTCGTTGATAAGATGATGGGGGGAAAGGGATAAACACCAAGGTGGAATGGAATTACTGACCAAATTAGAGAACACTAGTGTAATGGCAGAGTATATCTGAACCAAAATAGAGAACACGAGTGTAATGGCAGAGTATATTTGAGGAGAGAAAACTTGGACATTAAAGTTTTGGTTTTTTAAGACAGGATCTCACTATGTAGCTTTGGCTGTCCTGGCACTCACTCTGTAGACCAGGCTGGCCTGAAACTCACAGAGCTCCTCCTGCCTCCTCACAGGACATTAAGTTTTTGCACTGACTCTAAACCAATATATGTTCCCAGTAGGTAGTTTAATTCAGAAGTTTAGAAATAAAAGAACACTTCAGTTTAGAACAGGAAGTTACTAGCATAAAAATGAAGAAATCGAGGCTATAAAAGGAGTAACTTTTTTTTTTTAAAGAATTTATTTATTTATTTACTTATTTTTTAAAGAATTCTGTGTGTGTGGGTATGTGTTCCTCTGCCTGCAGAGGCTTTAGGTATCAGAGGCAGTGGAACTGAACTGTGATTGTATGCAAGAGCAGTGTGTACTCTCAACCTTACTGAGCCATGTCTTCAGGCCAAAGTAAATTTTCTTCTCTATTTTTTTTTTTTTTTTTTTTTTTTGAGAGAGAGAGCAAGAGTATCCTAGAAACATACTATTGACAGAGGAAGTCTTCAACTTCTGATCCTCCTGCTGAGTTACAGTCTCAGGTCTACTTAAAAACAACAACAAAAAACAGGCTGGCCTGAGTGCTGATATAACAAGGTATGTACTGTTACACTCAGCTTCTTCTGTTTTGCTGTTGTTGTTTTGTTCCTGCTTTTACTCTATGCTCAGTGAAAAATAGCTGGTAAGTACTACACACTAAGTACCCTTTCCCTTTAGAAAGCTTTAACTATTTACACAGATTATCTTTTTCAAGCTTACTTTGGTTAAGTCACAAAGCCAAAGATGAAAAATAACATTTTCACAAATGCCCAGATTTTTTTTGTGCAAATTCTGCAATTCATCCATAATTGTCCCATGAAAAACTTGGCTTTACATGTCTTTGCTGTCATTTCCAGCTCCTAATTCTGGAAACTCACACTTAGCTACCTCCAGCCATTTTTTTCAAGCTAAACTAGTAGTTCTCAACCTGTGTATTATAACTCATTTGGGGGTTGTTTATCAGATATCCTGCATATTAGATATTTACATTAGCATTCATTACAGCAGCAAAATTACAGTTATGAAGTAATTTTATGGTTGGGGATCACCACAACATGAGCAACTGTATTAAAGGGTCTCAGCATTAGCAAAGTTGAGAACCACTGCTCTAAACCAAAGCCCCTTTAAGACAATCAATTCACAAGGAAAGGATAAAACAGGAAAGGGAGGGGGGAAAGGGAGATTTGGAGGCTGGGAAGATGCCTCAGCAGATAGGAGTGCTTGCTGTTCTTTTAGAGGTCCCAAGTTCAATTCCCAGCACCCACATGGTACCTCACAATCCTAACTCCAGTTCCAAGGGATTTGATATACTCTTTTTAGTGTACCAGGTACAAAACGCCCATACTAACATGTAGGCACAACATTCATACACAGAAAATAAAAATAGATCTCTTTTTAAAAAGAAAAGGCCAGGTGTGGTGGTATACAACTTTAATTCCAGCACTCAGGAGGCAGAGACAGGCAGATTCCTGAGTTCAAGGCCAGCCTGGTCTACAGAGTGAATTCCAGGACAGCCAGGGCTCTTGCACCGAGAAACCCTATCTCAATAAACAAACACACAAACAAATAAACAAATAAATAAAAATTAAAAAAAAAAGGAAAGAAAGAAAGAAAAAGGAAAGGAACAAGATGTCACTTTCCCAGATTGGAAAAGAATGTAACTGGTTTATGCTCCCTCTGCTCAATTAGCTTGCTCATAAACAAGCGCCACACAACCTAGATCCTTAAGCAAGGGAAATTTCTAACAACTCCAGAGGCTGGAAGTTTGAGTATGTGGGAGGGTGTCTTCTGGGACCTTCTCTGTGAGTTACAGCCAGCATTTCCCTGTGCCTTTACATGGAAGAGCAACAGGTGAATGGTAGTAACAGCTAGGGGTGTGGGG